CATGTGGCTGCCTGGAGGAGCTCAATTGGAGTGGTCTCCTATCTCACAGGCAGCAGAGACAAGAAGGGTGAAGCCTCTTGCCTGAGGTCACATGGCTTGAACAGATGGAACCAGAATCCCGAGGCCACAATGGAGGGCTTTTGCACACCGGGGCTGGACCTTTGTATGCACGCTGTCTTCCAGACCCCAGAGCAAATGTCCTCACTCTCCTCCAGATTGCCCCCTCACTGTTTAAGGGAAAGAGGAAGGAGCCAGGCAAGTAGAGGAAGCTGATGCTGCTGCAAGACTCTGGAGCCTCCCAGCTTCCTCCCTGTGCGCATAGTCCCCCCTCCGCCCCCCCGGGGGGGGGGGCTCGGCTTCTCTTCTTCCCCGTGGGGGTCTTGGGCCCCCATCTTTGGCATTCTCCCTAGGGGCCCACAGTGCTGACCTCTAAGTAGGCTGGCACAGGCAAGCACTGGCCACCCACACTGGATCCCAGGTGTCACACAGAGCTTTGCTGGCAGGCCAGGCTATAGAGAAAGGCCCTCACCCCGCTTCCGGCTTGGGAAGCTCCTGTGGGCTTCTTTATCTTTAACTAGTCATTGCTAAAATATCTGGCCACCTCTGGGCTGCTGAAGGGACTGATGAATTTGAGGATCAAGGCCGCGGACATTGTGAGCCTGAACAAATATTGGTTGTGTGTCCAGAAGGGCCCGGGCTCTTTGTGCCAGAGCCCTAGCCTAGGTGGTGTCACAGACCCAGCTCTGTCCCAGCTGAGGCTTCCATTTACTCCGGGCCTCAGTTTCTTCACTGGGGATAAAGTAGAATAATGCACCTGCTCCCGTTGCTGGGCTGTACGCAGATGGGAGCACCCTGAGCTCACCAGGAGTGTGACTGCTAGTGAGTGAGCACAGCTCTGCTCCCCTGCCTGAGGAACTGAACACTCCTGTGCTTGCCTACCTGAGCCTCTTACTCTCTTCCTTTAGTCCAGTGCTTCTCAACCTTCCTCATGCTGCGACCCTTAAATATACAGTTCCTCATGTTGTGGTGACCCCCACCCCATCAAGTTACTTCATAATTGTAACGTTGCTATTGTTATGAATCATAATGTACATATCTGATCTGTGGGCCACAGGGTCGCGACCCATAAGTTGAGAATCGCTGCTTTATTCACTGCCAGCCTTTTCTGGGAAACACCGTTCGTGCTTTTGTGCCCTTGGGCTTGGGATGAACTTCTCTGAGTAGCAGCCTTGTATAAGAGCTGCCTGTTCACAGTGCCTGGTTCCTGCGAACAAAAAGGGATGATGCTGGATGAAGAGAGGAGGGTCTGCTGGGTGGTTCTGGGATAGCCGGGGAGAGAGGTGGTAGTAGTCCACAGGAGTGATGAGAGCAAGCCTAAGCCGGTCACCCACACCGGGCCCTTCCCTCAGCTCACATCCATCGCCCTTTGCAACTTAGGAAGCCCCATGGTGGCTGCAGCAGTGCTCATCAGGGAAACTGAGTCTCAGAGGTCACTCTGCCCAGCCCCTTTGTCATGTTCCAAGTGGCTCACACTCCTGGTTAATGGATCCTGGGACTGAGCAGGTGTCAGGCTCCTACCACGCCAGGTCTGACACCTGAGGCCAGTGATGTCTGAGGTACATGCACCTGGATCCCAGAGCAGGAGAGATAGACTGGGGGAGCGGGGGGCGGACGGTGGTGAGTCTTTTTCTACTTAGAGACTTCACCTGTGTGCAAATGTTTCCCTTACTGATTTTATGTGTGAGTTTTTCCTGGGGCTCTGAGGAAACCAGGCCCCCAGTGTGCTGGGCAAGTGCTGTAGCACCAAACTACAGCCCCAACATTCCGTCTACACTGACTATGTAAACCACAGGACTGGGATATACTCGGTGGTAGATGCATGCTTAGCATCTACGAAACCATGGATTTGATCCACAGCCTTGAAAGACAAACATGGAATCGGTATAAAAATTACTAAGGACACTTTACCCTATTGGTGGGTGGGGTACGCATGTGCATGCACTTGTGTGTACAGGTGCAGAGGCCAGAAGTCAACAGCAAATGTCTTCCTCCATTGCTCTCCACCTTGTTTTTTGAGTCAGAATCTCTCCCCGAGCCTGGAGCCCAGCGTTTCAGCAAGCCTGGCTGACTAACAAGCACCCCAAGATCCGCCTGTCTCTGCAACCACAGTGCTGGGATTGCAGGTATGGGGGACCAAGTAGAGTTTTTACATGGATGCCATGGAACTGAACTTAGGTCCTCGTGTGTGTGCAGAGTGAGCCATCTCCCCTAGCCTTTTCCACCCAGCATTTATGTTCCCTCTCTAGGCTGTGATTGCCTTATGCACATTTTATAGACAGAATCTTAGAATGGAAGACAAGTTCCCTGAACAAGCTGACTCTCAGCCTCCATCCCTATAAGCTTTTAGTGTAAACGGGCTCCTGGGACGCACCTGTCCTAGAGGCTCATTTCTTATGCGTCTGAAGTTCGAGTTTCTCGGGAGCCTGTGTGTATTTGCTAGCAAACCTGCTTGCTTTCCCAAGTAGGGAGGATCATTAAGGACCCAGATACCCTCAGGAGCTCTGAGGAGCAGCTCACTCCTGTCAGCCTGCTGGCTACACAGGTCCCCTCTGAACCCTCGGACAGTGCCCTTTGGTCTGCTTTCTGTGGCATCCATATCTATCTTCATCTCGATGGTTCTGCTGCTGATAACTGCTGGACAGGTAAACAAGGAAGGAGGAGAAAGTCCACAAAATACCTGTCAGCCAACTCCAGTAAGGGGCCAGGGCCACGGGCAGGGCCAGCCCAGAGAAAGGCCAGTTTCTCTTTCCTGGCTTCCCAGGCCCTGGCTGGTCCCTGGCTGGCCCCTGGCTCCCTCCAGCCTCCCCCTTGGCAGCTGAGGCTCCAAAATAGGAGTCCCTGACCCCGGGTACATGCTCTCTGTGCCTCAGTTTACATATCCAAAAGCACTGGCAAGTTGCAGCCAGGTCCTGTGGGATGTGAAAGTAGAGAGGGTGATGTAGCCAGACCCCACAGCACACATGTGCCCTCACTGAGTTCAGAGGTCCTGGTGTGTGGGAAGTACACTTTGAGACTGTAGAGGTGCCGAGAGGGGGTTCCTTAGCCCCAGGTCGCAAAGCACACCAGCACTGAGCTGAGGCCTGTAACAGGGACTCTCTGAAGCTTGCATTACCTGGTCCCATAGGCCCCTGCAGCTGAGCCTCTGAGTGGAATATTTCAACAGAAGAGCTCAACCCAAGGCACCTCTCATTCAGGCTGGGGAAGGTTGTGAGGCCTAGTGCAAATAGAAAATGCAGAATGCATGTCCGTGTTAGGAAATGACCAAGAATTTTAAGGAAGACCCCAGAGCTTTAAACCAGGATTCTGATCACTGGGCCCTAAGCAAAAACTACAGCCCAGGACCCCCAGGGAGGAGGCCAAGCAGGCAGAGGAAGGAGCCTCCAAGAACTGATCCCTGGGCTGTGGGCTGTAGGTACCTGGCCTTTCCCTAAACCCAGGTCTGCAGCCAGCCATGCTCACCCCACTGCTACCTCCTACCTGTTCACCCAGGATGGCTTCCCTCTTCACTCACCCCTGCAAGAGGTGCCGCTCTGCCAGGTTGTGGTTGGGCACCACATTCTCCTTGGGGAACAGAGTCTTCCAATGAGACTGCTAGTGCAAACTAGGGCTCAGAGATGTGTGTGTGTGTGTGTGTGTGTGTGTGTGTGTGTGTGTGTGTGTGTGTGTATGTGTGTGTGAATCTAGGGCTTTGAGCATGCTAGGAAAGTGTTCTGCTGCGGAGCCATCTCACCGCTATGACCCTAGGTTTGAACATATGCATATGAGTGCATGTGGGGTTTTGTAGAGGGATTTTTTTTTTCTTTTGGTACTGGGGCTTGAACCTAGGGCCTTGTGTAATTCTAGGCAAAGACTCTACTGAACTATTTCCCCAGGACTCTATGCAGCGTTTTGAACCACAATTTTTTTAAGCCAGGAAAAACAAAATATCAAATTTTTAAATAAAAATGTGTGCTAGCAGCCAAGACTCTCCCAGCTAGAGGCTGTTCCACAAGGTGGGCCTAAGGATCCTATCTTACTTTACAACTGAAGGTTTCTTTATCTATTGTTTGTATTTATCCTTTCTTTTAAAATTTTTCTTTTTTTCTTAGAAAATTGCATCAGTGTGTCATTTTCTTGATTAGTGAGTGTTTGGTTCCTTAGAGGAAGAGCCTGACACCCACCCCCAATCCTGGTCCTGGTGGCAGAGAGGACCATGAGGGTGACAGCTGATAATGATGAGAACAGGTAACGGCCACCAAGGTCTGTGCAGTGACCTAAACCCCTGCCCAACTCCCTTCTGTTAAGCAAATACTGAACACCTATGTGGAGTGCTATCCCAGCCAGCAATGCCGCCCCAGGGCTGAGCTTCCGCTCAGAGAGCTCAGAAACAGTTCAGCAGGTGGTGTGACCCCTCCAGGAAGAAGGTCTGTGAGGACCAGGGAGACGCCACACAACCCCCTGACCCACACACACCCCAGCCCAGGAAGGGATCCCACTCAACCCCACTTTTCAGATGAGGAAACTTGAGGTTTGTCCGGAGCCACCAACCAGGAAGTTCAGCTTGGGGACTGTCCGGGGTCAGGCTGGTGCCTGAGGGCTTTTTTCTGCACCGCCAGAGTGCGCGCACACAAGCTGGGGTGGAAGCCAGGTGGAAGAGTCGCCTTCTGTACTTGAGGGGCCAGCGGGACAGTCATTTCAATTGCACATGGCCAAGTTGTCCCTCCTGTAGGGACGAGACCAGGTGATCTCTTTCAAGGGTCATTACTTCCTCCCTCAGACTGAGCTCAGGAAGGGGAGCTGACCAGCAGGGGCCCTTTAAGGCTGGCCAGGGGCAAGTTCATTCACCCAGGGGCCCCTGCTGACTCACGCTTATGAAAGTGATTTTCCTGGCCCCGCCCCTGCCTCCGCCTCCTCCCAGCCCTGCAGTGAAATACCCCTGCTAGCCTTGGGCCTCTCACAGCCTCTGGGATCCCCAGGGCTAACGGGCATCCTGTTCCTGCAGCCGGGCACCGTGACCAAGTCCCTCACCGTGACCAAGTTCCTCTGAGTGTCCTGCCAACCCAGGCTCACCAGCTCCCTCCAGCTACTGCCCATCAGGTGAGTGGCCTGGACAAGACTGTGGGTGGGAAATGATAGCCAGGCAGGGGAGCGGAGCAGGGAGGACTCTGGGAGTCCCCCCTGCACCGCCCAGCCATGGCCATGGCCAGGAGCCTGGGCCCCTCTCCCCAGTAGCCCCTAGCCCGATAGCCTCATCCAGCCCATGGAATAGTATTCTGACAGGAAGAAGTGTGGGTAGCCTTGCTGCTGGGAGGCATCCAAGGCCACCGTGTCTACAGCCCAGTGAGGTGCTGTGTCCTGTGTACTGGGCACAAATGGGCACAGCAAGGGTTCCTGGGCACCTGGCTTAGGGAAGGTGCTTGGAGAGCGTGGTGGGCCATGGAGGGGGGGCATTAGGAATCCTTGGGCTCAGGTGGGGCGGGCACTTGGAATAAGTGTTCTTTGTGACAAAGGCCAGGTAATACTTGGCTGACTGCGCACTTCCTCCTGCCCCAGGGCTTTGTGTCTCTAGCAGCTGTCACAGCTGTTACTTGTTGCTTTGTTTGGGAATGGAGGGGAAGGGGACCAGACTAGGCGGTCCGAGACCTGGGCAAGATGCTTCCTCCACCCTACCTTAGTTTCTTTCTCTGTGTAGTGGGGATAAGAAACCCCAGCTCTTGGGTGTCTCAGAGGCAAATGGTACATGGCCCCAGCCCTCCCCAGTGTGATGATTTCATAACCTCAGAAATATCTGCGGTGTGATCCTGGGGCAGTTAGCGACACTTCTGAGAAACTCTACTTTTCATTTTTGTGTGCATGTGCTCATACCTGCGGAGGTCAGCGGTCGATGCCTGGTGACTTCCTCAATCACTGTCCACACTTTTATTATTTATTTATGTATTTATTTTATATATATATATATATATATATATATATATATTTTTTTTTTTTTTTTTTTTCAAGACAGGGTTTCTCTGTGTAGCCCTGGCTGTCCTGGAACTTGCTCTGTAGACCAAGAGGGCCCTGGTTAGTACTTGGATGGAAGACTACCTTACTTTTTAATTTTTCTTTTTTTTTTTTTTTTTTAACTAGAGAGAGAAAGCTTGTGTGGAGGTCAGACAACCACCCTCAGGGGTCAGGGGTCAGTTTTCTCCTTCCGTCTTTATGTGGGTTCTAGGAATCAAATCAGGTTACCACTCTTATGTAACAAGTTACCTGTTGAGCCATTTCCCTGGCTCTTCTGAACTGAACCTGGAGGCTATCGATTTGGCTGACCGGCCAGTGATCTCCAGGGCACCTCCCCCCAGATCTGGGATTATAAACATCTGCTCTTTACAGGAGCAGGGGGAATCCGAACTCAGGTCCTTCTGAGCCATCTCCCTGGTCCTTCAAACCAGTAATTTCTAGTGTAAGCTTTTCTGTCAGCATTGCCGGACCAGAGGGACTCAGAAAGACACCATCATGTTAAAAAGGGGTTATTCTAAACTTGGAGGGTAGGGTGGGGTTCACTTCTGTAATCTGAGCACTTGGGAGGTGCAGCGGGATGATCAAGAGTTCAAGGCCATCCAAGGTTTATTGTTGTTTAAAGCCAGCCTAGACTACATGATACCCTGACTCAAACAAACCAGGCAGCTTATTCCAACTCTACAAACTAAAGCCTCTGAGCAGAGCTCACAGGAGTACGGAGAACTTGTTTGCTTTATAACTTTGTAGTTAGTGTTTGTGGGTGGTGGTGAGGGTGAGCAGCTTGGAGGATGTGACCTCTGGGGTCCAGGCCTGGTGGTGGTGACCTCACATGTATGGCATCCAGCTGCTCCAGGTGAAGGATCTGCCAGCTGTGCTGGGAAAGGGGCTGGTCCTGGAGTGCAAAGTCCTCTAGTGTGTTAGCTCCTCCTACTTCCTGTGAAGCAACTTGGGCATCCCCTTGGATCTGGCCTGTGTGGACAGGGCCTCCTGCTGGCATCACTGAGGAGCTATATGCTGGGGTATTACAGAGAGGGAAAGAGTGGGCACCTCAGGTCTCTGGGGATAGTTGGCACGCTTTTTTCAGGGATGTTGGAATGTCTGGTAGGGTTCTGCCCACAGAGATAAAATGTTCAGTTCTGTTATCTGCCTGCTCTGAAACTTAGGGGGCTCGCCTTTTCCCCTGGAGCCTCAGTCTCCTCATCTGAGAAGTGGGTTGTCATGAGGATGAAAGGAGATAATGTACAGGAAACGGCCTGCCAGGATGTTACACTCTATTGCTCCTGTTCCTGGGGACAGTGAAGACGGGAAGGGAGGAACCCCAGGCCCTTTGATGTGCACTGGGGAGGGGAGTCCTCCAGGAACTACAGCCTGAATCACCAAGGCTCTGAGCACAGCTGCACCTTCTAGTCAGTGAGAAACTGACCCGCAGCAGGCCACTGGGGCCAGACTCTGCTGCAGGGAAAGGGGACAGCTGCACGCTGCAGGAGTCTGCAGCCCCCTACACCTGCAGGAGCACAGAGAAGGCTCTGGAATGGGGTGGCCCCGCTCGGTGGAGGTGGAACAGGCTCCTTGCAGCAAAGCTCCCCAGCCTCTCTACCTGTAAATTGGGAGTGATCAAAAGAGTACTTGTAACACCCAGATAAGTGTTATAAGCATAAACTGGTGTGTGTAGAGGGTTTGGCCCTTGAGTGGAAACAGCTGTATGGCAATGCCTGGTGTCGGCTGCTACAATTATGGCCATTGGTCATGTTACCCCATTATCCTCTTGGGCCCTGTGTGGGGAAGGCCGTGTGGTCTCCAATATCAGCAGGAAGCCACCTCCACTCTCCCGGGAGGAGGAGGAGGAGGAGGAGGAGGAGGAGGAGGAGGAGGAGGAGGAGGAGGAGGAGGAGGACACAGTGGGTACTGGGGACATAGGGCCCATCTTTACAAGTCAGGGAAGCTGTCCCAAAGCCTGAGCACAACTGAGACCAGAAAGATGGTTCTTGGCCAGCCCACCCATGAGATCACAGTGAGGTGCAGGGGCATGTTCCACTGGCGGGCTGTTCCTCCTCTGAGGCTCACCCTCACAGCCACCAGCGGAGGAACACTGAAATGCCAGCACCAGGGACTGGCTGCTGTGAGGTCAGTTGTCCCGTCTGACTGGTTGGACTTGCCTGGTAGGCGATGCTCTTGTTTGTGTCCCAGCACACAAGTCCCACTCAGCCCCAGCTGTGTTTCGTTGGCCCGTGAAGGATTTGTGAAAAGGTGCGTCATTGACTGGCCACTTTTCCAAACTAGAGAGTTCATATACAACCCCCAGATTTCCGCCTCCTCTGTAAGAGTTCTGGGGATGTTACCTCAGACCAATGTGCTGCCACTAGGTGAATCTGCAGCTCTCGGGGACCTGCACCATGGTCCAGTCTTAATCATCAGTTAGCCTTAGGTTAAAGTCCTGCCAGCAGCTTCCGCCCAGGGTCAGCATGGGAGGGACAGGTCACTGGAGGAGCTCATTATCCCTGCTCCCCCCTCGGGGCTCAACATTGTTTGTGGCCCCCTGGTTACGGACACAGGGCTGAGGCTCCTGGGGGAGGCTTGCCCCGCCCCTGCTGCCCGCCTGGGAATGCCGCTCTGGTGCTTTGAGCAGTTAGGCACTGTGGCCAGCAGGGGGCGCATGAACTCCAGAACCTGGGACTTGCTGGCATTTTCCCAAATCCAGTTGTCAGAGTCTCCCCAAGTCCAAGGTCCAGTCCCACCCTGAGCAGGAAGTCAGGCAGGGCCTTCCCAGCATTAAATCTACCCAAGCAGGTGTTCCAGAATATTCTACTGGCACAGCCTACAGAGGCTCAGGTCTGGCAATGAACCAGTGTCACCAGTAAGGAGGCGACTGTGTAGGCCAGTTGGGTAGTGGCACTGCAGCTACCAAAGAAGTCTTCTTGTCTTGCTCCCCGCCCCCCACTGGGCAGGGAATCCCCTCCCTGAGGTGAAGTGGGGAGATGGATGGCATAAGGCTCAGTAGAGATAGTGGTTCCCGGTCCCCAGGCAGCTAGGGAGGAGGGCAGGTGCCCCGTGTGGCTGGGGACAGGCATGTTGGATTGCAGAGAATGTGGGAGGAGAGGAAGGCAAGATGAGGCATATTGTGGCTGCCCCCTGGGGCCCTGTACTCCGTGCTGAGCACCAGAATGCCCCTGAGAATTGGCCATGCAGTCCCTCACCCTGATCACAGGGGCTTCTCTTTGCTCTGCTCTCCAGGTCCGCTGCCAGCCTCAAGCTGAACTCCAACCCCAGCTATGAGCTCCTGGAGGCGTGACTCCCTCAGGGCCAGCAGCTCGGAGCCCCTCCCAGTGGTCATCATCGGTAAGTGTCACCCTGGCAGGGTAGGGGGTACACTGGTGCTCTGGGGACCCCTGGGTCTGAGGCCAGGAAGGCTGAGGCTGGCCTCTAGATGGCTGTCTTTAAATGAAGCTGATGTGGTTACTGTGGCTGTGTGCATAAAACATTACACCATGACCCCGTGTCCACAGCTGTGCACAAAGATAGGGCCCATGGTTCCTGTCCTCAGTTCTGCAAAACTGAGAAAGAGAATCCAAGAACCAGGTGGAACCACATGGACGGACATTTTAAAAGTGAAAAGCCGATGGATGTCAGTAAGAGCAGGGGAGAGCTGATAAGACAGGCAGAGGAAGCTCTGATCCAGCTAGGAGGAGCTTTGGTCCACGCAGACTCAGAAATAGCCATCACCCACCATGCACAGGGCTTGAAGCAATCCATCCCACTGATGGACTGTCACCTCTGAGTCTCAGCCTCATTGTCACAGTCCTCTGTGCTACACCCCCATCCTCCTTTTACTTTGGATGTGCCCAGGCTGGCCTTTACTTCAGATCCTCCGGCCTCAGCCTCCCAAATTTCAGGCTTGCATGGCTGTAGAGTCTGTCTCTGAGTGAGAAGCCCTGCTTAGCCCTTTGTCGGCTGTGTGAACAGAGGCCACTTGCTTAACCTCTCTCTGCCCATTTCCTCACTGGCATCACCGCAGAAGTGCACTTAGAGACCTTTCACACAGGAAGCCTTTGACCACTGTTCATGGCTTTATTTCTTGGTCATTATTATGCGTGGCATCTGACACAGAGTAAGGGCTTGGTGAGTGTTTCACAGAATGCAGGCGTAGCCAGCCAGGTTGAGTCTTGCTGATGCCCCTGTCTCTGCAGGCAATGGCCCCTCGGGTATCTGCCTGTCCTACCTGCTCTCTGGCCACATCCCCTACGTGAAGCCAGGGGCCATCCACCCACATCCTCTGCTGCAGAGAAAGCTGGCTGAGGCTCCGGGGGTCTCCATCCTGGACCAGGTGAGTCTGACACACGAGTGTGGGAGGGGTATTCTCCTAGGGAAAAGCCAGGGCTCCCTGGAAAACCAAGCACAGAGCAGAGGCGCCCACAAAACCAATCATAAAACAGGACAGGAGCAGCTGGGCTGGTTTTCCGAGACTGCTGATACCATGTCAGCTAACTACGCATTAGATCCGTGGGTCTCAATGAGGGACTCCCTCTAAGAACACTCACTGGGGCCCCTGGGCTCCCAGAGGGATCACAGTGACAGTCCCCCCCAAAATACCCAGCAGAGAGGTCTCTGTGTAACCAGTTCCTCTTAGCTTCAAAATGGGGCTCTGCTATCCTCTGGGGGTCCCATTGACCTGTGCCCACCTCTTCAGGACCTGGAGTACCTTTCGGAAGGCCTTGAAGGCCGAAGCCAGAGCCCTGTGGCCCTGCTCTTTGATGCCCTCCTGCGCCCCGACACAGACTTTGGAGGCAGCATGGACTCGGTGCTCTCCTGGAAGCGGCAGAAGGAACGTGCTGTTCCCCACCTCGTCCTGGGGCGGAACCTTCCTGGGGGCGCCTGGCATGTGAGTGTCCCCTTGGAGTCACCCCTGTTCTCCTTGTACCTCCTTTTCTTCCTGTGTCTCCTCTCCTGCCATCTGTCCCAACCCTGGGAGGGGGCGCTATCAGTCCAGGCTGGGCCTGAGAACGCCTTTCTCTGCAGTCCATTGAAGGTTCCATGGTGACCTTGAGCCAAGGCCAGTGGATGAGCCTCCCAGACCTACAGGTTAAGGACTGGATGCGGAAGAAATGCAGGTAAGCCCCACCCCCCTCAGGAGGCTGGGTGGGCAGAGGAGACTCCCCGACACACAGATCCAACTGGCCTCTCTGGTTCTGCCTCTGGTGGACTGTGTCCCTGCAGATGAGGAGGGACGTCAGGTGCTTGTAGCCTCCCCTTTACCTGGCCTTGTCATTGTCCTAAAGGGGCCATGTCCTTGGTTCAGCAAATACCCTACCCTAGTGATCCACTGCCAGCCACTGGCCTCTGTCCCGTGCGCCACTGTGAGAAACACTCCTACAGGTAGCCTCTTAGGACAGTTCTAACAGTTTTCACAAAAGACAGGAGAGGGGAATGACGGACAGACAGACAAATTCTATAGCTCCTGGGTGGCCTGCGGGCATCCTAGCCTTTGAGTCACCCTTAGCCAGATATCCCTGCCCTGGGTGACTGCAGCCATGTGGAGTCATACAACCAGGTACAGGAAGGTCTGAGGTTATGCTAAGCCAACTTCCCCTCCAGCATCACAGACCCTGCAGCCGCTATCCCTGGAAAGGGAAGATACAATCAAAATGGCAGCAGAAATGATGATGCAGCCCCCCCCCCACCCCTACACACACACACATACACACACACACACACACACACCCTCCTATGCCTTTCCTGTGTGACCCAGGACCTGCTAGGGGCTTCAGTGGGATATTGTAAAGTTCACACTTCAGAATGTGACTCATGGGGTTGGGGGTTGGGAATTTCTCAGTGGTAGAGTGCTTGCCTAGCAAGGGCAAGGCCCTGGGTTCAGTCCTCAGCTGGGGAGGGGATTTGGGGGTGACTCACATAGAAAAGGATAGGGAAGCCCTGAGTACCACTGAGGAGTGCCTTGCCATGGCACTCAAGGCCAGTTCAGAGGTTGCTGCCCAGCCCTCCACTGCCCCCCATCCCTCCTCCCTCCCCCTCCTCCAGTACAGCCCTGCTCTGAACTCTAGCTGTATAGACTCTTGGCCTCATTCCGAACTTCACTGACGTGAGATCTCACTACATTTACATAGAGCTTTTGAGTTTTATTTTGGATCTTGTCATGCAAGGCTGGCCTTAAACTGGTGATCCTCCTGCCTCAGCCTCTTGAGTGCTGGTAGTCACCAGCTTTTGGACAATAACATCACTGGCTGGCCAGCCCAAACAAGTCATCCCCATGCTCAAGCTCCAGTCTAGGCCCTTGGTTTGCACCCAACCTTGTAGACTCTCCCAAGGCGTCATGGGATGTTCCTGACACACTCACCAATAGGGAAACTGAGGCGCAGAGAGTTTCAAGCTCCCTATGTTAGCTCCACTTTTCACGAGGGACATCAAAGCCTGGCCCCAGCTGGGAGTGCTGTTACCACGGGTATTGCCTACCTCCATGCCTGTCTCTGACACCCAGCTCCCACATCTGCTTCCTCCTCAGAGGTCTCCGTAACAGCAGAGCCACAGCCGGCGACATCGCCCACTACTACAGGGATTATGTGACCAAGAAGGGTCTGAGCCACAACTTTGTATCTGGTGCCGTAGTCACTGCTGTGGAGCAGGCAGAGTCTGGGCCTGGTAGTCCTGAGGCCCAAGCACCCAGCCCCCTCTTCCAAGTGAAAGGCTATTTGACTGCCAAGGACCACAGCCACCAGCCCTTCTCACTGTGGGCCCGTAACGTGGTCCTGGCCACGGGCACCTTTGACAGCCCAGCCCGGCTAGGCATCCCCGGAGAGACCCTGCCCTTTGTCCACCACGAGCTGGCAGCCCTGGAGGCAGCCCTGCGGGCAGGCACCGTGAACCCTAACTCGGACCCGGTGCTGATTGTGGGCGCTGGGCTGTCTGCGGCCGACGCTGTCCTCTTTGCTCGCCACTACAACATCCAGGTGATCCATGCCTTCCGCCGGTCTGTCCATGACCCTGGCCTGGTGTTCAACCAGCTGCCCAAGATGCTATATCCTGAATACCACAAGGTGCACCAGATGATGCGTGATCAGTCCATCTTGTCACCCAGCCCCTATGAGGGCTACCGCAGCCTCCCTGAGCACCGGCCTCTGCTCTTCAAGGAGGACCACCAGGCAGTGTTCCAGGACCCACAAGGGGGCCAGCAGCTCTTTGGAGTCTCCATAGTGCTGGTCCTCATTGGCTCCCACCCCAACCTCTCCTACCTCCCCAGGGCAGGTGCTGACTTGGTCATAGACCCAGATCAGCCACTGAGCCCCAAGAGGAATCCCATTGATGTGGATCCCTTCACCCATGAGAGCACTCACCAGGAGGGCCTATATGCCCTGGGGCCACTGGCTGGGGACAACTTTGTGAGGTTCGTCCAAGGTGGGGCCTTGGCTGCTGCCAGCTCCCTGCTGAGGAAGGAGACCAGGAAACCACCCTAACATCAGCCAGATGCCCTGACACCAGGCCCTGAAGAGAAAGGGGTTCATCACAGCCCGTGGGACATGAGCCCATCTAAAGATTTCCCATGTGGGGACCAGTCTCCCCAGCAGGAGACGAAGACTAGAGCCCTGTGGATGGGCTGTCTGGCCCAGAGGCATGGGGAACACAGGCCACCCCATCCTCAGGCTAGTCAAGGCCCACGGTGAGAGCAGCAGCCATAGGCCAGAGAAGCCTGGGCCTGGGCCCCCTTGAAGCTATCAGTGTGTGCTGGCACCACGGGGCCAGCTGAGTGCCCACTTAGGAGGGCTCCAGGCCTAACCTTTCCGAACCAGGTCCATAATAAAACCAACAGTGCCTCCACTGTGCCTGAAGAGTCTGTGCTTGGGGGGTGGCTGGGCAAACAGACCCCGTACTGGGCCCCTGGGTAAGGCCTACCGCAGCAGGAAAACAAGGAAGGGATGGAGCCCCATGGTACAGCAGTCCTGGGTACTGTGTTACAGACTCTGGAGAGTCTGGGCAGGGACTGATGCTTCCAGAAACCTGCGGCAGTCCTGTGCACCCTATAATCCCCTGGTCTGCTCTCACCTCCCTGTTACCTGCCTCAGGGCCTTTGCGCAGGCTGCTGTCCAGCCCTGGGCCCCCTATGCACGTCTCTTGAGTCTGAGTCGCTTGCACAATTCTCCACCTCTCGCTCTGCCTTCAGGGCAACTGGCGTCCGCGGGTGGAGGAGGGGAGGAAGGGACGCGGGGAGGACCGGCCGGCAGAGGGCGCTCAGGGCTCGCTGGACACCAGCACCACGGGGGAGGGGACCGGGGGTCAGCGGGACCCTGGTGGGGACCGGGACACAATCCTGGGGGCCCCCCACCCTCCTCCACACCTGCCCGCAGCCCCGTGTGCACGAGGCCATCCCCCCTCTGCGACTGTGCCAGAGTCCGGCCGCCGGACCCCGCGCCCCCGTGGGCAGTCCCCTGCCTCCGCTCTTGGCCGGCGGGGTGGGGGCGGCGGGCGCGGAGCACGTGGCTCGGGGTCCGGGGAGCCCCCCCACCCCCCGGCACTGGCGGTCCCCGCGGTGTCCGGGCCGCGGGGCCGGCGGCGGGAGCGGCGCGCGCGGGCGGGCGCGGGCAGGGGGCGCGCGGGGGCGCGGCCGGGCGGGGGTCGGCGGGCGAGATGTGCGAGCGGGCGGCGCGCCTGTGCAGGGCCGGCGCGCACAGGCTGCTCCGGGAGCCGCCGCCGCAGGGCCGCGCGCTGGGCGGGCTGCTGCGCTGGGTGGGCGCCAGGATGGGCGAGCCCCGCGCACCGCTCGTCCCTGACATTCCCATCGCAGACCCCGACCCCGGGCCCGCCGCGCCGCGCGGGGGCACGGCCGTCATCCTGGACGTGAGTATGCGCCGGACCCTCCGCCCAGCGCGGCTGGGTACCAGTCCGTAGCCGGGATCCGAGGACCCTCTCCTCCATCCGCTCCTGCACGTTCCCGCATCCCCGCATCCCTTAGCTGGGACCCTCCTCCCGCGCGAAGACCCCAAGAGCAAGCCCCAACTCTCATTGCCGCTGAGGCGCCTGTCCCCCAATCCAGACCGCACGATCCTCTCCATCTCCCCCCTCCACTTTCACTCATCCCTACATCTCCACATCCCATAGCTGGGACCCCTTCTTCCCTCAGGGATCCCCCTCCCCAACCCTCAACTCCAGCCGGACTGGATCCTCACCTCCATCCTTTTCATCCACTTCCTTCCATCCCCACATCTCATAGCCGGAACCCTCCTCCGAGTGGAGACTCAAGCCCCCAGCCCCGTACCCAGATCACGACCCTCTTCCTCAGTCCCCTCCCTCTGTGTTCCCGTTTCCACTCATCCCATCGCTAGGACCCTACTCCTCTTTAATCGCGGCTGGGGCGCCTGTTCCCACTGGAACTCCACGACCCTCTACATCCCCTTCCTTCACATTCCTGCACCCACCCCCTCATCCCATATCCCGGACCCCTAGAGCTTCCTCCATAAGTCTGGCTACTATTCCCCTCTTCTGGTCCTAACCAGACCCTCTCACTTGAGTCCCTACGACCGGGACAAGAGCCCCTGGGCACCTCTACCCCCCTCCTCTCTATCCGGGATTCTTCCCTTAGTGATACCGCTCCCTGAGACCACACACAGCCCCTGAACCACCCCTTAACTCTTCTCTGCTAAGGAAGCTGAGCCGCCCCACCCCACCCGCTTCGTGCCGTGCCTCTTTGAGAGTGAAGCCCCCTCCCCACCTGCTCTTTTCCCATAGAATAAGAACCATTGCCCGGACCTAGGGGTCCTCACCCCCTCCCCCAGCTCTTCCTGCCACCTTCCCTTTCCTGTTCTTTCCTTTTGACTCTTGGACCCCAGACTCACTCCTCACCCCACCCAGCTCCTCATGCACCACACGGCTCCCCCCCCCCCTGCAGTGTAGGGGAGTCACATGGGCAGGAGAGGACTGGTGGCCAGTGGAGGGGCTCCTGGGACTGGTCCGAGGGGGGTGCCTTTACATGTTACAAGGTTCTAGGAGAGTCAGGGTGTTTTGAGTGTGTATGTGCACGCTTGTCTGTGTGTGTGTGTGTGTGCGCGTGAGTGTGCCACACACCCCTACAAGTGTCAGGGGACTAGAAACCCTATCCCCACCTTGCCTCCCTTGCTAGTTCTCAGAGCCCATCCTGTCAGAGCAGGATGATTTCGGAGATGGGTGTTCTCATGAACGAACACAGAAGAGTATGAACAAACACAAGAGGTGCACACACGCCACACATGCACGCACACACTCGCCACACGTGCACACACACAGCAGGACCCAGGCAGAGTCCAGAGTGGAGGTGGCAGCTTGGCCCTCTTTCAGGGAAGCCTTGTCCAGCCCTTTCCTCTGCACTCGCTGCTGTGTGCAGCCTGAGCCTCTATTTCCTCATCTGTGAAGTGGGGTAAGGAGTAGGGGGAGGGTGTCACTCACGCTGGTTCTGGGAGCCACGTTCCTTGGTGTCACTTGGTGCTACATCAACCTAGTCATTTCCACACCCAGGCCTTTAGGGGTCTGGGAGTACCCAGAGAACACACGGTTCCCTTGTCCTGTTGTCTGTGGGGTGCAGGTGAGCAGAGCCATCTGTCCTTTGACTCCAAGAGACTCAAGGGGGTGGCACTTCCTGCCTGGCTTAGCAGAACCCCGTCAGACCTCCCTGAGTCTGGGAAAACCCGGGGCCGGGGGGAACCTGGGCACACTGTGAGCTAAAGTCTCCTTCTGGATAAAGGGAGCCAATTCTTCCCGGACCCTGGGACCATCTCAGACCTTACAGTGCTGGGTTATGAACCCACACAGGGAGCTGGTTAAAAGACAAGCATGGCTCAGTGGGTCCAGTGTTGGACATCAAAGCTCTTCTGTTAACTGGGAGGTCTTAGCAGACACCTTGCTCTGTTGGGAGCTGCTGGTCCACCTGCCTGGGTTATGGCCTGGGTTGAGCGGCTTTTGGAAGTGCCCTGTGATTATCAGCAACAGCCTCTTGACCCTGGGCACCCAGACTTGTCATTAAATGACCTCGAGGGGTTCACATGTCAGCCAAACAGGGAGTGACTTCGTCTCAAAGTGCAGGTCCCGAGTTTGGGCTGTTCCCCATCCCATCCCTGCTAGTTGCAACCAGAACATTCCTGCCTGCCTCTCCCCGCATCTCATAATGACACCATACTTCCTGTGGGCTGATCTTGTCACCAGGCTTCAAGATCACCTCCTTCGGAAGGGACCCAGGCAAGCCAGAGCAAGGGGAGGTGGGTCCTGAGAAGAGGATGGTGGGGAGACACGGCTCTCATGGGCTCCTGAGCGTGGCTGGGTGCAGCTGGGTGCTCAGCAATGGAGGAGTCTAGAGGAATGAGTGTACGCACACCTGCAGAGATACATGTGGGTGTGCGTGAGTGTGCAGCACGAATGTGTGTGTCTGTCAGCAGCCGTGGGCAGGCTGGCAGTGCCGAGGGAGAGGGAGTGGTAGCTTCTGAAGTAGTTAGGGGAGGGGCCTCTGCCTGCTGCTGTCTCTCTAACTGGGTCCCAGCCATGGGGTCTCCTGGGGAAGTTTGGGCCTCCAAGCTGCTCCTGGGAGAGAGATCTTAGCTGGGTCAAGAGGCTGCTGAGGGCCTCTGCCCAGACCCTGCCCAGGACTGACACCAAGTCTCCTCTCTGCAGATTTTCCGCCGTGCGGATAAAAATGGTGAGTTTCCTTCCGGGTGCTCCACTACCCGCAGCATTCCCTGTCCCGGTGTTTTGTGGATAACAGTTAGGGGTGGCGACATGGACACCGATGAACCTGAAGGCGAAGAGCACAGGAAGTCCACAGGCCAACTCCTGTTACTGTTCTGTGCCTCAGTTTCCCCTTCTGTAAGCTGAAGCAGTAATAGCTGTCTTGTGTGCTCCCCTGAGCTTTGGGGTGAGGTAAAGAGGAGATGCTAGTGACCTAAAGACACTTCAAAAGAGAACCAGAGAGTGGTGTGTTCATCCATGAAGAAAGTACTCATGAGGCCCTTGCCTGTCACCTGCCCCAGAGGCCCTGGTTCCCTTCCCAAGTGGATTTGAATTCAAGGTGGCTCTGGCTTTGTCCAGCTCCTGTGTCATTTCTGGGAGCCATTGCTGACTGCCCCATGTGGTTGGTGGGGTGGGATAGAGCTCTTTGGGATATGAAAGGGCAGGGGAACAAGCCTGGACTAGAACCATTGCAGAGGAGTGTTGCCCTCTTTGGGCCTGCTCTAGGGATGATAAGCATAATTCCAGGCCTCTGGGTGAAGGACCACCTGCAGATTCCACATGGGAAAAGGAGATATAGGGGGATCAAATGGTACTGAAGATGTGGTAGCTTTGTGCAGAGCCTTCACGACCCAGGAAAAGAGTCCTGCCCCCGCCTCAATATAGGTCTCAGGGGTGTCAGCCTGCAGTGGGCCTCGTACTGCACCCTCCTGACTCCCTACCACTCCCACAGGTTGAGATTTTGGACTTGTCTTCTCTGGTGAGTTCACTGTGCCCAAAGCACAGCAGGTCCTCTGCCAGTGTGTGGAAGATGCCTTCCCTCATGAGAACAAGGCTGTATGTCTCTGGGAGGCTCTCATGATAAGGACTAGGTTTGACTGTGCTAGATTGGGTAGCCAATCCCCAAGGGAAGGCTAGAATAAGAGGCCTGACTAGCAGCCCAGGGTATCACCCTACAAGACTGCATTGACAGCTGGCAGAGGGGTGAGGACCAGCCAGCATGTCCCTCCAGGGATGAGGCTCACAGGCTCTTGCTATTTGAAAGGTCACTGCAGCAGGCTGGGCTCCTGCTCATTAGTAGTGCCACCTGCAAACAGCCCCACTTGGGTTGCTGGCAGAGGTGACGAAGCTCCAGGACAACTTGTCGTCTCTAATTGGACCAGAGGCCAAGTGGAGGATATTTTCCTCTTAATAGCTCATACGTACTCATTAAACTTGCGGCTACCACCCAAGGTAAATGTCAGAAGGCTTCTAATCAGAGGATCTACACACCCTGTCCTCCAGCTCCCTGTTCTCTCTGGGTACAGAGGATATTGAGGTATCATCTATGATAAGGGAAGCTGGGCCTGGTGTTAGCACACCCCATGCTGTGCCTAGGGCAGACATGACTAATCAATCACAGCACGTATTCATTGAGTCTAGTCTTTTCTATGCAGTTCAGCTACTCTATGAAAGATGGAGTCACTGACTACTCCTCACCAAAAGGGTGGGGGACTGTGTTGGCACCTACCATATGGCACAAAGTCCTGCCCTAGACTATATTGAAGGTCTGAGTTCAGACTACTAATGCCTTGTAGAATGACCCAATAGAGGGAATGTTCCCTTTCCCAGAGCTAGGACCTGGGGCCGGGGTTGGGAGTGATCACTATAGGAAGATTAGTGATGTCAGGTTAGGACATTACTTAAACAGTGTCGGAGTCAGATGATTGAGGGGGACACAGAGGGATGATTGCCTGGTAGAGAGCATGCAAGGTGTTTGGTCCCTAGAAACTAGCTTCTGTTGTCTCTGTTGGCTTGGGATTACCAGTCAGTAGACCTCAGTCTGACAACTGGGAGTTTGTCCTGGCAGTGGTTCTGGGAACAGGCTGTGGGCCACCATGTGCTCTTCTCTCGGAGACAACTGCCGCTTCCTTGCCTGTCCACTGCAGATGACGGGAAGCTGTCCCTGGAGGAATTTCAACTCTTCTTCGCAGATGGTGTCCTCAATGAGAAGGAGCTGGAGGACCTCTTCCATACCATTGACTCAGACAATACCAAGTGAGTCCAGGCTACTGGGGGGCGCCCTGGGGATGTGTAGGTTCCTCCCTTCTCCATAATGACAAGGCTCTGTTTAAGGGCAAGAGGCCTGGAGCTCTCCGACTCACTAATCCAAAAGTCAGACCTATCTCACTGCCAGGCTGAGGTGGAGGTGTGAATCCTGTATGTGTGACTGCCACAAAGTTTGTCCTTTCTGAGCCACTTTGGCCCAGAGAGAAGAGACCCTGGGCCCGATGTAGTACACACAGGACTGACGGGACATTGGCAGTGACTCTGTGTTCTGATTCCAATGTTACTCCAGAATCTGCTTTCTAAGATCCTGTCCCCATGAACCCCCATCCCAAACCACCCTTACGCATAAGAATCCCAACTCTAGCATGAACCTCACTTGTGACCTTGGAGCAAATTGAACCATTTCTGCAACCCAGTCATGACATGGACCTGCAGCTCAGCCTCGCAGGACACCTGCATAAGTGTGACACCTGCATAAGTGTGCCCTGCACACACACACACACACACACACACACACACACACACACACACGCACGGGCCCTTCACCCATCTTTGTCCATTGCTCCTGAATTCTACCTGGGTGGATAAGAGGCATCTGGTCACCTTCCTGAGGTGATGAGGACTAAAGTGGGGGTGCTAGAGCAGGCTGGATCCCTTGGGGGTCTAGACTAGTATGATCTGGGCACATGGTTACTACCAAGCTAGTTTGCAGGGGTCAGAGTAAAGTGGTAGCCTGAAGTCCAACCTGACAAGATGTCATTTCTGGGGATGCCACTGTGCAGGAGTGACTTCAATCCTCATAGCAGAGCAGGGGACACTGTCTTCAGGCCACATGAGGTCTCACAGCCTCTCTGCAGCCTCCTGGGCACCCACTGAGTGATACATCCTCCCTGGGAGCCTCAGGTGTCAGGCTAGCTAGGTGGAGGAAGAGGAGGCCCTGCTTTAAGAGGTTGATCTGGTGGAGGGGATGGGAGGGGCGAGCAGAGTGGACCTACTTTAGGGGAGGTCAAAATTCCGAAGACATTCTGGATTCCTTCCTCCAGTATCCCCCGAAGTAGGAACTGCAAACATTAGCCCCTGGAGTTGCCCAGCATGCTTTCTGGACGCAGACAGCTCACATGTCAGAAGCAGCATTCCGGGATATCAGAGAAATTCCAAGGCAATCGCCAGTCTTGGAATCTACAGAAAACTTTGACCCAGACGCATGCTATTGAATGTGGAATCGACCAAAAGCAGTCCTAAGCCAGGGTACAGGCTAGGCCCAGGAAGGAGAAGGCATCAGAACCCACACGGCCACTGCCTGGTCCCTCTGCTACAGCATCAGGCACGGATGCCTTCACACACCTCCCTCAACCCTGAGCAAGGACCAGATCCTGCTCTGCTTTGCTGTCAGGAGTGAAACCCAGGGCTAGAATGGAGGCTGACCCAGGGCCCCAAGAGTTCCAGGAGGGGCAGTGGTATTACTTTGACAACCTGTGATAATCACAGCCCACCCTGCAGCCTCCCCACCCCCCGCCCCGCCCTGCTCCCAGGCTCAGCCCCTCATTGGTCCCTTCTACTCAGGATATGGCCCACAGGCTTTGAGACAAATATTGAGCAGCCAGGTGGGGTGGCATAGGTCTGTAACCACAACAGTCAGGAGGCTGAGGCAGGAGGATCATGAGAGTTCAAGGCCAGCCCGGGTTACATAATATAACCTTATCTCAAAATAAAAGAAGAATACAGACCCTGGTGGGCAGGCAGGTGGCTCCCGCTCCAGCCTCTGCTATGAAGTGGAGTTCACAATATCAGTGCAGAGGGGGCAGAGAGGGCCACCCAAGTGTTTCAAGGACTACACAGAGGGTCAGAAACAGGCCTGCTGACTCTCTCCCTCACCCTCATTCCCTCCCTCCCTCTCTCCCTCTCCAGCCATGTGGACACCAAGGAACTGTGTGGTAAGTACCTGAATCTACAGCCACCATGGTGTGGGCAAGATTACCCAGAGGTGGGCAAAGCAGTGTGGACCTGGGTGGGGCTGGTGGGAGGGCCCCAGGGAGAGGCTGGAATCCTCTGTGACCCCTGACCTTTGCCACCTCCTTCCCCAGATTACTTTGTGGACCACATGGGAGACTATGAGGATGTCCTGGCCTCCCTGGAGACCTTGAACCACTCGGTCCTGAAAGCCATGGGCTACACCAAGAAGGTCAGTGGATGCGGGTAGTACACTCCAGAAGCTAGGGCCTGAGTGAGTGCCGGCTGATTCTAGGTTTTTCTGAGCATTGTTGTTCAAGGGTGTCTGGATCTGTGGTGACAGATGTTGGTAAGGGCTCCTCGAGGAGCCAAGACAAACCATGTAGAGAGAGAAGCACCTTGGTGGCTAGCCCTGTCCAGGAGGGTGTGCGTCAGAGTGTGAGGGCCTTTCCCAGGGTCAAGCCTGGTCCTGGTGTGGATACCTGGTGAGGGCAGGAATCCCCGAATGATGGGCTCCTTCAGGGGTGGTGCAGACCTGGGGATCTGGAAGCGGGGATTTAGGTTTTATCTATCTGAACTTGACCCAGGAGTGCACTGGTGTCTCCTGAGGGGCTGGCACATGGGTAGTAGAGGAGACCTAGCCCATCTGGTCAGTGACCAGGCTGAAGGACTGGAGTCTCCCTTTCGCTGTCGGTGAAGTGAGAGTGTCCATCTTCCAGACCGTGACTGAACTCAGGGAAGTAGGTCCTCTAAGCTGCTGAACACAGGGCTACATAGGTAATGCCAGCTCCCTCAGTTCCTCACGGGCAGCCTGTGCCCCGCCTGCAGCGGACTGCCATGCACCCAAACGTGGCTGAGTCTGCCCCCCCACCCCCACTCCACCCCCATCCCCACTCCACCCCCAACCCCACTCCACCTCACCCCCCAACCCCACTCTACCCCCACCCCCACTCCACCCCATCCCCACTCCACCTCACCCCCCACCCCCACTCCACCCCCATCCCCACTCCACCTCACCCCCCACCCCCACTCCACCCCCACCCCCACTCCACCTCACCCTCCACCCCCACCCCCACTCCACCTCCACTCCCACTCCACCTCACCCCCACCCCCACTCCACCTCACCCACCACCCCCACTCCACCCCCACTCCACCTCACCCCCACTCCACCTCCACTCCCACTCCACCTCACCCCCACCCCCACTCCACCTCACCCCCACTCCACCTCCACTCCCACTCCACCTCACCCACCACCCCCACTCCACCTCACTCCCACCTTACCCCCACCCCCACTCCACTCCCACCCCCACTCCACCTCACCCACCACCCCCACTCCACCTCACCCACCACCCCCACTCCACCTCACCCACCACTCCCACTCCACCTCACCCCTACCCCCACTCCACCCCCACCTCCACTCCACCTCACCCCCACCCCGACCACTTAGCCACACATCCCCACTGTCGTTCTGGTGTTGCGCTGTCAGGAGTCTTGCTGTTTGCAAGTATTTTCAGAACCTGTGAGAGCCGCTCTCAAGGGGTGAAGGGGGCTCATCGTGGCAGTTTTACTTAACAGCCCGAGTGTCCCACGGTGTCTGGAGCATTAGCAGGGTGTCCCAGGCAAGCGCATTGGCCTCCTCTGCTGTCACTGGCTGTAAGAGGGAGGGGATGATGGATTGTGCAGACCCCTCCCATCTAGGAGCAGAGCCCTGTCTCCGAAGGCTGTAATGAGGCCTTGCTTGGTCCCACAGAGTGCTCTACCTGCTCTTTGATCATGGCATGCAGGACTAGAACCTCACCATCCCAGGAGGCTCAGCCCAGCCTTAGCCATGGTGCCACAAGGACCTTGCACATGTGGCCTCAGGTGCTCATGGTGGTTTCAGGGGATGCTGGAGCATCCTTGCAGGGCCTGACAATGGTAGCTGACTTTTGTTCCCCTTCTTGGGTATCCCCTAGCTGGCCTGTTTGTAGAAAGGCAGCTTGCTGATGATCTGAATGCTTTTCTTGTGTGCTGGCTAGCTTTTATTTCAGCTTGGCATAAGCTAGAGTCATCCGGGAGAAGGGAATCTCAATTAAGAAAATCCCCCCAACAGATTAGCCTGTGAACAAGCCTGCGTGTTGTGTTTCTGGATTGATGATCGATGTGGGGAAGCCTGGCTCACTTTGGGTGGTGCCACCCCTGGGCTGGTGGTCTTGGGTGCTATACGAAAGCAAGCTGAGCAAGCCAAGGGGAGCAAGCCAGTAAGCAGCGCCCCTCCATGGTCTCTGCATCAGTTCTTACCTTGGGTTTCTGCCCTGACTTCTATCAGTGGACTGTGATGTGGACGTGTAAGCTGAAATAAACCCTTTCCTCCCCAACTTGCTTTTGGTTATGGTGTTTCATCCCAGCAAAAGACACCCTGTGATCCCTGACTGTAGCTGACTGCTTTGATTTTGTGGTGCAGCAGCCTCTGTCATGGTTAGCTGGGTTAGTCTCCTGCATGGTGACTAATATGGGCTCCTCCGGTGACTCTGTTGCATGTGGCATATTCCCCAGATCCTAACACATCACAGTGACGCCAGGCCCCAGCTTTTCAAGTACATCTCTCCAGCATCTTTCTGCTAATTGCAATATTAATGCCAGCTCTTATTTTAGAACCCTCTTCAGTTCAGCCTGTGCAAAAATACGTTTCGCCTTCCCCTTTGTTCAGTCTTGTCTTGGGTGATGGCAAGGAATCTGCTCAAATGCCGGTGGATTTTCTTTTTAATGATCTGATGATCTTGCTTCAGCTATCGATGGGTGGAGTCTATTTTTAGATTCTCTCATATTGAATATCCAGTGCTCCATGATCAACTCTTATCAGAACATCATTCTTTCATCATCTTCCACTCGGTTCTGTCCCCGACTGGGTGTCTTCTCGCTGCATTAGGAGTTGAGGTGGGATGGTGGCCTGGGGAGCAAATCATGTGACTCGGGCATCTCCTGTATGCTTCACCATCCCTGAGATGTACAGCAGTGTTTTTTTCTATTAAAAAACAAAATGTATCCAGAGCTCTTGGTTCAAAGAACTGAAAGGGTAGGGACTCTTGTCATAGGTCTTATTTTGTTGTTTTATGTGTGAGGTGTTTTACCTGCATGTACATCAGTGCACCATATGTGTGCCTGGAGCAGGCAAGAGCCAGAAGAGGACACTGGATCCCCTGGAACTGGAGTCACAGATGGTTGTGAGCCACCATGTCGGTGCTGGGAATCGAACCCTGGGTCCTTGGCCCGAGCTCTTAACCACGGAGTCATTTTTCCAGCCCCTGGAATAGGTAGTTGACAGCGAATCCTACCTTTAGTCATTCCTTTTTGGTGTGTTCCCTTTATTCTTTAACAAACCTGGACATGTTCACCTCCATGATTAATTATGCACAGTGTGTTCTCATGATTGTTTTTAAAAGTCTAAATCGTTGTTGGACCAAGACAGACACTTCATGCAGAAAAGGACAATAAAAAGTCCTTACGTGGTTGTGAGGTCAGGGCTGTCACAGTCTCAGAACACTTCGGATACAGCGCTCAGATACTCCTCCCTCCATCCCTCCCTCCGCCCCTCCCTCCGTCCTTCTTTTCTTTCATTTTGTTTGTTGACACAGGATCTCACTGTGTAGACCAGGCTGGCCCCTAACTTGCCACCTCCCTGCCCCAGCCTCCTTAGTACTGGAGTCAGAAGCACAGGCCACTTCCAGCTGCTTCCTACATTTTACAGATGTTATATTTGACAGTGTTGTCTGTTTTAACCAGCTGATTCTCATAGGCAGCCCCGGACACTTATTTAATACGTGTGTTATGTTTTCTAATTTATTTTTGCTTCTTATGATTATAATTCTTGTCCTCTGTTGGCTTGGGTTCATCGTCACCTTGGTCTTTTTTTTTTTTTTTTTTTTTCCCCGTATGTGTGAATAGAATGCTTTGGTTCATATGAAATTCTGAAATCCAAAAACCTGACCTTTGGTATTTTTGAGGCCACCACAGCCGGTACCACGCAGCGTCTTTGTCCCCAGCGTTTTCTGAACTGTCTCTTGCATTCACTGTGTTGTGTGTGATAAAGATGGGTGACCAGGAAGTTTCCTCCCCCATCGCGTCCTGTGTGGACTCATCTTTTGGTTGCATGACGCTTTGTCTTTATGATGGTCTCACAGGTGCCTGGGAGGGACATTTGGAGAGCGTGGAACATCAGACCTGAAAATAGATGTCCTCCTGCCTTTGCTGGGAAATGCATGCAGCTGGAACACATGCTTTAAAAACACAAAGCCAGTCTGTTCTGCACATGTTAAGTGACACCTCAGTGGTGTGACAGCTGGTTTTGGAGAAGTCAAAGGACGTGTGTGTGTGTGTGTGTGTGTGTGTGTGTGTGTGTGTGTGTGTGTGTGTTGCTGCTATCTTTCCACCACCATGGGTCCTAGGGATTGAACTCAGGTTGTCAGAATTGGCCGCAAGTGCCTTTACCCGCTGAGCCGCCTTGCTGGCCCTTTTCCCTGTTTATGATTTTCTAATTTATCTTTCTTGTGGAACATGAGAGCTAACTTCTCATACTAAGTAGTATCTTGTCATTTAATTCTTGTTGTACTATTACTTTTCTTGTGTATATTTTCATCCATTCTGTTTGATGCATTTAGACTTTTATTGTATTTTTTTTATTGTACCAAATAATAGTATTCAGTTCAGAAAACAAACTATGAAGTGCCAGATTCAGATCACCCAGAACCTCGATGATGGAGAAGAGTTTTGGTGGATAATTCTTGCAACTTTTTTAATGTGTAGTTCTTTAATTTCTTTAAAATTTTTATTTTAAGTGCCCTCGGAGGTGAGAAGGAGGTGTCAGATCACCTGAAACCAGAATTACAGAGGGTTGTGAGCCGCCATGTGGGTGCTGGGAATCAAACCTGGGTCCTCTGAAAGAGCAGCCAGTGACTTAACCACTGAGTCATCTCTCTAGCCCCAATATTTTTAATATGCTGTCAGGAAATTTTTATTTGCTGCCTTTTAATTAGTATTTTAACACTTTCCCTGTAATTTTTAAGAGTGTCAATTTAGTTACTTATTTATTTATTTATATTTTCAGACAGGGTCTCACTGTGAAGCCCTAGATGGCCTTGAACTCACAGAGATCCACCTGCCTCTGCTCCCAAGTACTGGAATTAGAGGTGTGTCTTAGGGTTTCTATTGCTGTGATGAAGCTTCATGGCTAAAGCGAGTCAGAGGAAAAGGTTTGTCTGGCTTATACTGGCTTACACTTCCACACTGTAGCCTGTTTTTTGTTTTTCCTGAGACAGGGTCTCACTGTGTAGTCCTGGCTTGTCCTGAAACTCTCTCTGTAGACCAGGCTAGCCTTGAACTCACAGAGATCTGCCTGCCTCTGCCTCCCGAGTGCTGGGATTAAAGGTGTGTGCCACCACCTCCCGGTAGTCTGTCATTGAAGGAAGGCAGGACAGGAACTCAAACAGGGCAGGAACCTGGAGACAGAAGCTGATGCCGAGGCCATGGAGGAGTGCTGCTTACTGGCTTGCTCAGCCTGCTTTCTTTTTTTTTTTTTTTTTTTTTGGTTTTTCGAGACAGGGTTTCTCTGTGTAGCTTTGCGCCTTTCCTGGAACTCACTTGGTAGCCCAGGCTGGCCTCGAACTCACAGAGATCCGCCTGGCTCTGCCTCCCGAGTGCTGGGATTAAAGGCGTGCGCCACCACCGCCCGGCTCAGCCTGCTTTCTTATGGAACACAGGACCACCAGCCCAAGGATGACACCACCCACAATGGACTGGGCCCTCCTCCATCAATCACTAATTAAGAAACTAATTAAGAAAATGTCCTACAGGTTTGCCTGCAGCCAGACCTTATGGAGGTGTTTTCTCAATCGAGGCTCCCTCCTCTCTGATGGCTCTAACCTGTGTCAAGTTGACATAAAACTAGCCCGCACAAGGTGTGTCCTACCATGCCTGGCTGAGAGTGTCTCTTAAATAGTCTTACTTGAATTAACTAATTTTTCATTTATGATTGAGCATATGAGTTGATTTCTAAGATTTTACTGTTGTAAATATATTCATATATATGTAATATACATATATTATGACTCTCACCCAGTGCATACAGATCTGTTCCCTCTTTATTTTTTTATTTTTTTTGGTTTTTCAAGACAGGGTTTCTCTGTGTAGCTTTGCACCTTTCCTGGAACTCACTTGGTAGCCCAGGCTGACCTCGAACTCACAGAGATCCGCCAGCCTCTGCCTCCCGAGTGCTGGGATTAAAGGCGTGCGCCACCACCGCCCAGCCCCTCTTTATTCTTAAGAAGTGATGATCAGAACTGGATGCTTACTGGTCTAAAGAATATGAACAAGAGGCTGGAGAGATGGCTCGGAGGTTACCAATGCTTGTTGCTCTTCCGGAAGACCTGAGTTCAGTCCCTGCTCACAACTCTTCTAACTCCAGCTTCCTCCTCTGGCCTCCATAGGCACCTGAGCATCCAGAAAAATAAAAAGAAATCTTAAAAAGAATATGAACAAGTTGAATGTAGTGATACAAATCTGTCACTCTAGCTACTGTCCAGGCTGAGGCAGGAGGATTGTTACGAGTTCCAAGCCAGCCAGAGACCTTGTCTCAAAAAAGAATATGAAGAGCCGAAGCCTCTTGATACTCGGCCGACTTGCTTTCTATGACAGCTGTGTCCCTGACACCAAGCTCAGCAAGGCTCACAGCAGCCTCGCACCAGCCCCGAGGATGAAGTAACAGCCTGGTGCACACTGCGTCCTCAGCCTTCTTATCTCTTGTCATGTTTTCTCATTTAAGCTCTAGCGCCCTGGCTAAGGCAGCTGGCCCTGTCTGCCTGATCGAGTGTGATTGCAGAACCTCTCTGCACCGGCTTCTGTCTGCAAAGCCTTTGCTACTCTGATGGGGTGCGGGCCGGCTGCATCTTGTTTAATCAGCTCTGGAACAGTGTCTGCACCCAGGAGACCATGGCTGCCTTTTTTCATTATGAATGTTCCATCCGGGCTGGCGGCTCTTGCGGTCCTTTGTTCTTCCTCTGTTTCATTCTTCCTTCACCTCTTTTACACTCTTCCTTTTGATGGTCTGCTCTGCTTCATTGATTATGACTTAGAAGATAAAAATCTTCATTTTCATCGTATTAGTGGCTTCTGGAGCCAGGCATAGTGACGAACGCATTCAATCCCAGCACTCAGGACAAAGAGGCAGATGGATCTATGTGAGTTCAAGCCCAGCCTGGTCTACAAAGGAGTTCCAGGAAAGCCAGGACTACACATGAGACCCTGTCTCAAAACACACACACACACACACACACACACACACACACACACACACACACACCACACATCTCTGTAAACATCCTCAATCCTATTTTTTTCTTAGGTCATTAAAAGCATCTCCTGTTCACTTTGGGGATGAGGGAATTCTGAGATGGGAAGATGTAGTTTCAGTAGTTTGACTTAATCTGACCATTGAGAGGACTCGGCTTGTCAAGGAACTTACTACCAAACCTAATGACCTGACTTCAGTCCTGAGGACCCACATGGTGGAGGGCAAGAACAGACTTCCACAGGTTCTCCTCTGACCTCCATACATGCATCGTGGCACAAACACACGTGCACACGCACACACGAAAAAATAAATAAATAAGTGAACAATTAGTGGCTAACAGTAAAGTTCTCTCTTTACCTCGGAAGCCACTGCTCACACAGCTCCCCTCGTTGGGGACCTTTCTCTGTGGCTTGAGCCTGGATGTTAGGGGAGAGTCTCAATCAATTGCTGTCCACAGAGTCACAGGGCAAATCGAATGCTCTGCAGGGCTCTGGGCAACTCCCAGTGACCTGCAAATGGCTTGTCGCAGAGACATGTCACAGGCACAGCCCCTCTGGCCCTTCACTGAGGAGCCGCTCTTGGCTGAGGAGAAAAGGGTACTGTCTCCATTGTCCCCTCCCGGCTAGAAGGTGGCCTGTCTTTGAAATTCCCAGCTACTGAGTTCACTGAGAGCCCTGTCAGTTCCTGGTCTGATTGTTGTGAACCCCACATCCTGTCTTGCTCATTGCCTTTCCAGCAGCCTTTTTCTGGGGGTGGGGTGGTTATTTATTTTTTAAAACCATGTTTGGAGATATTCAATGGTCAGAGTCCATTGCTCCCTAGCCTATGGGTGGCATTGGGTTGTTGGAAAGACAGCCAGGAGCTGCCTGCACCTCAGGCTAGGATGTCTTCTCCACCAGGGGCTGCCCACAGTGGCTCCAAGCCAGGCCTCGGGACAGAATGTCCACCTTCGTGTACCCTCCCCTGCACCGCCCCCCACGCCTTGTCCCTCAGCCTCTCTGTCTTCCAGCCATGCTTTCCAATGTGTAATTATTGCTAATTAATTCCCAGTCAGAGTGATGGATAGTTTAATTTGCTTTCCTTGAGAGCCTTGTTTTTCTCTGCTTTACCAGGGACTGGGCAGAGTTCCAGTGTACAGGGGGAGGGGTCACTCCAGAGGGTGAAGTCTCAGCGGCTGAGTCCCAGCACCTCTCCCCCACCCGCCCACCCCAGCGGTGGATACCACCGCACCCCTGTTGACCCTAAGAAGCCAAGCTTCTCTGCAACCTTCTGCAGAGGCAGGAATCACAACGAGGGACCGCAGTACTGAAGTCTTGCCAGAAGGAGAGGCTCTGCTGCGTCCCCTTCTCTCCAGAGCGTGCTGCTCCTCATCCTGTGCACCTGTCTACCCCTCCGCTACCCTACTGTTGTGCCCTCCTCACCTCTGAGCACAGGCCTCAGAGGAGTTCTTTGGGACTCATTTAACCCTCCTGCCTGCACTGATTCTCTTCAGTTAGTTGTCTGAACAGCAATATGAAGACTCAGGGCACAAAGAATTCTTGTAGAAGAAAGAAGGGGGCAGAGTCCATGAGGCCCTCTTTCCTGGTGCTTTCTCTCTGTTGCAGCAACAGAAATGCCACTCAGTGATTGCTGGTGTTATTACCGTCATGACCACCATTATCATCACCAACACTACCATCACCATCACCAGCATCACCATTAACACCATCACCGCTACCACCATCAACACCATCACCACCACTATCATAATTGTCATCGCCAACACCTTCATTGCTGTCTTCACCATCATCACCATCATCACCGTCACCAACACCTCCATTGCTGTCTTCACCATCAACATTGCTATCACCAGTTTCCCAACACCATTGCCAATGTTATCACCACTGTCAACTCGGCTGCCACCTTTACCACGGCAGCTACAGTTCACTGTCTGTCATGTGATGGGCACTGTGCCACGCATCTTATAAACTCATCTGGTCCCTCATGGGTAAGACGGGAGACAGCGCTACCACTGGCTGGGCTTGGAGAGGTAATCCAAATGAAGTCTGAGGTCCCGCCTTGGCCTCTGAATCTGGGGGCCCTGCTTTGGATGCTCTGCAGTCTCTAAGATGCAGCGGGGGCAGTGCAGGGCCCCACACCACAAAGCAGAGACGTTAGCCCAAGGTGTCCCCAGCCCCTGTGCCAGCCCACATCCAGGTTCTCTCCCAACGCCCCCAGGTTTATGAAGGTGGGAGCAATGTGGACCAGTTTGTGACCCGCTTCCTTCTGAAGGAGACAGCCAATCAGATCCAGTCGCTGCTCAGCTCCGTGGAAAGTGCTGTGGAAGCCATTGAGGAACAGACCAGCCAGATCCGGTACGTCAGTGGGACATATGGGGGTACTCAGAGCAGCCTGACCCTTTGTATACCCCAAATCTTGGTGACCTTGGTCAAGTGGCTGCACCTCTCTTGTATCCCCCACCCAACATCTCCAACTGCAATCTGAGGACACACTTAGGACCTAGTACCTGAGTCCTGAGACTTACGTGGGACAGAACACGTTTAGGAGAATGGCTGGTGTGGGACATGCATTCCTGGGACCCATAGTTCTCCTTGTTCCCACAATACTGGCTTGCTGCCTGGCCCACTTTGAAACACCAGAAACCAGTTTGGAAAGTGGTACCTGGCTGCAGGATGGGGTCACAAATGCCACATGCCAGAAGTGGAGTATCCAGAGGGAAATGTGTTCTTGCCAGGAACCCTGTGGATCCCCGAGGACTCCCTTCTTTGTTACCTGGAGAGCTGTAGGAGTGGAGGGAGCTACTGAAGGCAGGGTAGGACCAAGCTGATGCTGAAGGAGATTCTGGAGAGGGATGAAGTTCAAGGTGTTGCTCATTTGGTCTCTGGGTATGCAGGCAAACACCTGGGCATTTCTCATGGGTACCGTGAGTGCTGTGTGCCTGGTACCTAGACTGAGACACTTTAGTCTTTTCAGCTAAGAAGGGCCTGCTCAGCTTGAAGCCCACCCACATGCTGCCTATAGCTGGCTGAGCAAACACCTGTCTGTTCAGAGCAGTAAATGGGGCCCACCCACAGGTGGCAGCTGCCAGGGAGCCCATACCCATGGGCTATCCAGTCTTGGCTTTATCTGTGTACAACTTCAGGGTGCCTGGCAGAGGGGCACAGTGTGGCCAGGATGCTCTTTTGCTGTGGGGTGAGGTTTGCGTGGGTGTCCCTTGGTCAGTGAGGACCTCAATCAGATAGGGCCGTGAGGGGTTCTTTTTTTTTTCTTTGGTTTTTCGAGACAGGGTTTCTCTGTGTAGCTTTGCGCCTTTCCTGGAACTCACTCTGTAGTCCAGGCTGGCCTCGAACTCACAGAGATCCGCCTGCCTCTGCCTCCCGAGTGCTGGGATTAAAGGCGTGTGCCACCACTGCCCGGCCGTGAGGGGTTCTTAAGTGACACCGTTACCAAATGTGTTTGCCGTCAGCACTTGAAAGGGCAGTTCATGACTCTGCACATGTGGGTAGCCTGGCGATCCCGAGTTCCCATTGTCAACAGCCACCATTCTGGGAACAGACAGCTTTCCCTTTATTGATTTATTATTATTGTCTTAATCCAACTGCCCCCTTTTTCTCCTGCTGCAGGCAGAGAGCAGCCTTGGGCAATTTTCCTGGCTGCCTTCCTACGCTCCGTGGTTCCATCCATGGCGCCACCCGCCTGCCCCCACCTGGGAGGGGATAACTCCGAGATGTCAGTGGAAGGAGTGGGTGGTGTGTCTTGATGGGAAATCTGTTCCATGCCCACAGACACCTCAAACTGCCCCACATCTAAACACTTTTGGCTCCAGGCCCTGAGTTCCCTCGCACTACCCTGTGTCCCCGCCCTGGAGCAGTCCCCAGGGATGCTGTGTTCCAGGAGAAGCTGCTATACAGACCCTGTTGCTTGAGGGGCCTCCCACTCAGCTCTTCATGGTCTGAGGGACACACTGAATTTGTTACTGGTGTGTAGAGATGTGTGATTGACAGCTCAAAGCCTCCGCTAACCTTGTCTCGGTCGGGGAGCTGAGCCTGCTTCCTCAACACAGGAGAAAGACTTGCTAAGCTTTCAGGGGTCACAGGAGACAAATTCAAAATGTACTAAAGGGTTCAGGGATGGGGGGGTGTCAGCCACGCACCCTGTTGACTGGTATGTCTGTAGTCAGTTTTGCAAGCCCATCTTTGTGCATAAGGCATTGGCTGTTCACCCTGCATTTTTTGAGGACCCTGCTGGGTGCCTGTCGCTGTGCTGGGGGGTGAAGGGTGCCAGGTGAGTTGTGTCCATGGGGGAAGGAGATATGGGGTCAAGAGATGGAGTCTGGCTCAGGCCAGGCTCAGAGTATTGTCTTGCTGTCTTGTTGGGGGTAGGGTGTCTCACTGGCAAAAATCCAGGTCTTCTACCCCGGAAACCACTCCACAGCACAGTGGCCTCTACTGAGGCCGGGAGGGAGGAAAATACACTGTGTATCCCCAGCCTGGGCTCAGCCGTACTGGCTGGAAACTATAAGCTAAGAGGTCAGCCAGACAGGTTCCCGGCCCAGCCTTATGCCAGCCATGGAAACGAGCCTGTGGAGCATAAGGCCTGGCCTCTGGAGTTCTGACACAGAGCTATGGCCCCACTGACCATATGGCCTTGGCCAAGTCACCTGCCGCATGGGTCTTGTTTCTTCCTCTGTGAAAATGAAGGCCACTCTGACCATCCTGCAGGCGTGGGCCCACAGGGCAGGTCTGTGCATATTTCAGGACACAGTCAGGGCTTCGTAAGTGTGTGGTGAAGGTCGTAGACACGGCCATGGTCCTACAGCTGCCCTCATCGACACCTTGTTTCTCCTATGCATACCTCAGACAGGACCACTGCAGACCCAGCCACGGCGTCACCGAGAGCCACTATGGAGGCCCAAGTCCTCCCTACATCCCCAACCACAAGCTCATGGCCCCGGAGCCCGGGAAGAGCCTGCCTGTGGGTAAGAGAGCATCAGTGGGCACTGCTGCCCTCTAAGGGGACCCAAGGAATCTGCACTAGGTCCTAGCCTGGGGTTGGGGCTCTGCCCCCTCAGGATGGTCCTGCCCACCACCAGCGTCTCTTTCTTTCTCAGCCACAGGGGAGCCAAAGGAGGAGGGGCTGGAGGGCCAGATTAGCCGGTTGGCAGAGCTGATTGGGAGACTGGAGAGCAAGGTAGGCCGGCCCCACCCATTTCGCCTTTCTCCCAGGCCTGTCCAAATTAGAGCTTGTGGGGAGGTTGAGGCCAGGACAGAGGCACCCTGGTGGGTTGGAGGTTTAGAGAGCTGGCCTGAGGTCATGGTCCTGCCTATGGGAGGGCAGGCAGCCTTCCAGGTGCAGAGGGTAATCAGTAGAGATGTGTGATTGACAGCTCAAAGCTGTGGACATGTCCAAGAAGAAAGCCAGCCAGCTCCAAGACCGGAGGCATAAAGCAGGTGTGAGTGGGAGCCAGCGGGGGTTCGAGGCAGGTTCCAAACAGAATGCTGACAACGCAATACAGTCCGGAAGTGTGGAGCAGTCCAGCCTTTACAGGGACCTTTCTAGGGACAGTGTGTAACTCAAAGTACTCCTAAGGGGGCTTACAGATGGGTGGGCTCAGGTGTTCCTCTGTTGGAGCTGGGTTTCTGCTGTTTGACTTCGAGTCAGTGGCTTACCCTCTCTGAGCCTGAAATTCCTGCTTGGATGACCGCGGAGATGTTCAGGAGACCAGTGTTCGTCACCAAGGCGCAGGTGGCTCAGGTCAGAGTCTGCTGTCCCAGTTAGCATCTAACCTTAGCCATGTTAGCACTGCTAGTCATCCTTTACCAGATTCCCCCACACGTGTGCGCAGGACTCCCACGCACATGCCTACACCGAGTGACAGGTGTCTCAGAGCCCTGGGATTGAGGTAACATTTCTTCTGTTTTTCCGTATTTCTTTTGCAAGGATCTCTGGCACTTGGCTGGGTTGGGGGCTTTGTTCTGAGGGACTCGTGGGCGTGAAGCAAGGGCCTTCTCACTGGGAAGCAGTCTGACTGGAGGAAAGGCTGTTGGTGGCTCAGTTGCGGGGCTGTCCCCCTCCCACACCCCTTTTAAGCCTGCTGCCCTGCCTGGGGTGAGAGCAGCGCGGTGGGGACCTTGTGCCCGGTTGTCATAACAACTCAGTGGGGGCCCCAGGAGGGAGGCTCTTTGAAGCTTATTTTTAGTACCCCGGTCGCCCTAACAACCAGGCTTGCTGGTAACCAGGAGCACCTAGGCATCCTGGAGATGGTGGGGCGGGGTCCCCCAAGGTCTCTGATTGGCCTAAGCCACTAGTATGGGCAGATTCAAGCCAGCTTCAGGCTCGGGGGAGCCCCCAGCTGGCCAAGCAATGCCTCCAACTGTGCCTGGAGGGCAGGGAGGATGGAGGTGCTGGGTGGTAGGTCTGGGTACTGCTGGGCTCGCCATCTGACTGCGGAGAGGCCAAAGGCTCCTGGTGGGGCCCTAGCCCTTCGGGAGCTGCCTGTGTGCCTGTTAAGTAATAGAAACAAGCTTGGACCTGGGAACACATCTTACCCACCGGGCACTTTCTTGAGATGTGTGGGCAAGAGGTCAGTGGAGGCTGGAGGTGTGATTCAGAGGCAGGCCCTCGTTTCAAACGTTTGAGAATCCCACCCCACCTCGCCCACCCACCGCTGTTTTCTTCAGCAGTGAATGCGCCTCTTGCGTGCTTATGTGTGTGTGGTTGGATTTCTGTCAGGTGGGGATGAGACATGGGTCTAAACCCAGGTCCTAATGCTTAACCCATTGGGGGAAGCTTTAGAGCCCAGGGTTCTGTGCTGTGTGTGACGTAGTGATGACCGAACACACATGTGCACTTGGCCCCGTCTTGGGTGCCAGTCACTGGTGACCCACAGAGCTGGCGTGGCTTCTGCATTCCTGAATCACACAGCAGGCCGCAGCTGGCTCAGGGAGGCTGGGAAATGAGATGTATACAGAAAGTTTTCGGTTCAGGGCTTTGGGGGAGCATCGTGCAGGCCACCCCATGCAGACCATGGGTTCATGGGGAACCCAAGGTCACTGCTAGGGGTGAGGTAAGCAAGTTATGGGTCTTAGGGCTCTTATGAAATCTTGGTAAAAAACGGTATCCTGATTTGGGGCCGGCCCCCTGAGTGCCTGTTACTGTCTATGATTTCCCTGCCCCAGCCACACACCCCAAGTTTCTTGGGGGCCCATCTTGGTCTCTGAGCCTCCCAGTGCTTCAGAGGCCTGGGTCACAAGGAGCCCTCTGTCATTTCCCTGACTCTCTGGCTTCAGGATCCCCCTTGACGCTGCTGTATAGGAGCTAAGCAGCCTGTCCACAAGGCGTGGCCCTGGGATCCACGCTTCCAGCCTGGGAAATCTCAGAGCCCCTGGCACATTGGGACAGGGGCTGTAACTCTGGGGGTCCCAGGTACCCCGTGCCCTGGGTGGGACCTTGGGAGCCTCCCTGGAGGTGGCCTGCATCACAGGCACCGCTGTGTTTTGTTCTAGACCCTCTGGTTTGACCTGCAGCAACGCCTCTCAGATGAAGAAGGCACGGACATGGTGAGGCCCTCTCCGCCCCTCCTCTGCCCTGTCTCTCCAGCCCTCTGAGGAGTGTTCTACAGCTCCATGTCTCTGGCCACCCTTCTCTGCCTTCCCCTCCCCAAGGGGCATGGTGCGCTGAGGCTCTGGGATTCTGATAAAAAACATCTGGCCTGGAGCAGAGCAAGCATCTGGCCCGCTCTGTCAGAAAGGCAGCCTGCTAGTCACAGGCTGTGTCTCTGGATGGGGCTCCCTGCAGCGTCCCTCCTGCCCTGTTTGTGGGGACCCCTCGGGAGTTTACCCATTGGGCCTTGTTCTCCGTTAGCTGATTTGCTCACGTAAGAATGAAGAGCCTGGTGGGTTTGTTTTGACCCTAATGCCTTGACCCCTCAGAAACAGGGCATGGGGTGCTGGGACTTGGCCTGTCTCCATGGCTGGGGAAGGGCCTGGCACACATGTTCACTCCTACCTTGGCCCACAGCACCTGCAGTTGGTCCGGCAAGAGATGGCCGTGTGCCCTGAGCAGCTGAGCGAATTCTTGGACTCCTTGCGACAGTATCTCCGGGGCACGGCTGGAGAAAGGAACTGTTTCCAGTAAGTGACAAAGCTTTCTGTGGAGCTTGTGGGGGTGGTGACCAGGGCTTCTGGCTGGCAGTGGGATGGGGACCGGGCCGAGCCAGCCCTCCCCTAGGGGAGGCACATGACAGGGAAGCTAAGTGAGGCTCAGCCTCATTCCAGCTGTAGGAGGTGGTGGGTGAGTTCACCCCCAAGCCTCGGCTTACTCATCTATCAAGCAGATCGTGTGTTGGGAGGATAAACAGAATAATGTGCCGGGCCGAGGCCATTCTGGTTCATGCTCCACTCACCCAGAGTGACCACTGTTACATAACACAGAGCCTAACTCAGTCAGTGACTGCTTGATTAAGGGGAGAAGCTGAGTCTCCAGGAGCGGGGAGGTCTTCCAGAATGCAGGTCGCTGGCCCCCTGCCCACTCCTGTCCTGCCAACCCTGGGTAGCTCAGCAAGGTGAAGCAGATGAGTGTGGCCACCAGTGAGGGTCTGCACATAGCCAGTACAGAGAGAGGGAGATGGTGGTTTGGCTGGACAGAGTGATGGGGGAATACCCTAAGGAGGGGCACCAGAAGCTGTGTGTTGGGATGGCATCATCGGGAACCAGGCTGCTCCTGTCTTCTGTGTGAAGAAGATAGGCTGAGGGCTGCAGGGAGAAACCACACACTTCGGTAAGGAGGAGAGCCCTGCTTTGACTGATGACGGATGGGGAGATGGGAAGAGGGTAGGCAGGGGATGGCTGGGCCTTTGGCCTTCGCAGTCCTGATAAAGGATCAACTCACCAACTGCACATCATCACATTGGTTGTGGAGGTCATGTCGGCTTCTTGGTGCCTGCGGGTCTGCCGTGATACCTGTCTGGAGGTCCCCAATAAGGACAGGGCTCAGTGAGGTGCTGTACAGATGGTTTTTCTTTGCTGGGCTGGGGCTGAACCAAAACTCTTGTGGGTGCTGGGCACATGCCATCTCACCAGCCACATCCCAGCCCTTGCCATGGTTCTTAAAGGAAGAGAGAGGAGGGGAACATCACCCTGGGGTCCGGGCACCCCCCTTATCCTCACCTGGGCCTTCCTGGTTCTGTTGCCCCTCCCACCCCAGTCCCTGAAGGGTGGCAGACCCTGTCACAGGATCTGTACATCAGTGCACGAGGCTTCATCCTATGTGTCCTTCATACCCAAGCCTGCCCTGCTGTGCCTTCCTGCCGGAAGTTCCCTCCTGAGAAGCCAGCAGCCAGGCAAAGACAGTCACCTGGCTGACCGTCATCATCCTGTGGTAGCCACACTCCTATGGTCCCAATTGTCCATGATAACCTTTGCTGTGCCTAGAGAGAGACCAGAGTAGGCACCTGCCCTGGCTGGCACAGGGCCATGGGCTAAGGCTGGCAGGCACCCCCGTCCACTCATCAAGAGCCCTAAGGCTGGAGCACAATGAACTACCGATGAGGCACAGTCGCAATCCCTCACTTCTCTCATAAATGGCTTGACTCAGAATTTGCATAGCCTTCACCCTAATGAGGGACACCTCTTTGAGGGGCTCAGGTACACTTCTGCCACATGTGGGGTCCAGGAGGAGCTGGTGGGGACAGGGACAGCACTGAGTGGGCCCTTGACACCACCAGAGCCCACAAGTTCATATCACTGCCTCAATCGCCAGCATCTGGCCCATCTGAAATGGAGTGACATCCCAGGTCATTCATTCAAGGGGCTTGCCTGGGCTGCAGCTCATTCATTCTGGGATAGCCCTTCCTGAGTTTCAGTGGCCTCTTGTCAGCCCAGGTCTGGGCTTCCTGCGGTTGTCTTAAGGCCCAAAAGAGACAGAGTGAGCAGGGCACAGACTGTATGCTTTGGTTTGAAAAGCAGGTGTTTTGTGTGTAAATGTACGTGTGTGCGTGTGTGTGTGTGTGTGTGTGTGTGTGTGTGTGGTATCTGTAGGTCAGAGGTCAGTCTTAGGTGTTGTTCCTGAGTTGAGTGCCCAGCTTCTGTGCATGCGTGTGTGCGTGCGTGCGTGTGTGTGTGTGTGTGTGTGTGTGTGTGTGTGTGTATACACTAGGGGTTGGGATTGGGGGTGTTTGTGGAAGTCTGTCTTAGGGTTTCTATTGCTGTGATGAAACACCATGACCAAAAGCAACTTGGGGAGGAAATGGTTTATTTCACTTGCATTCCATATCACAGTTCATCATCAAAGGAAGTCAGGACAGGAACTCAAGCAGGGCAGGAACCTGGAGGCAGGGGCTGATGCAGAGGGCATGGGGGGGTGCTGCTTACTGGCTTGCTCTCTAGGGGTTTCCCAACCTGCTTTCTCATAGAAGCCACTGCCCAGGGATGACACCACCCAGTAGGCTCGGACCTTCCCCATCAATTACTAAATAAGAAAACACCGTACAGGCTTGTCTACAGTCAGACCTTATGCAGGCATTTTCTCAGCCGAGGCACCCTCCTTTCAGATGACTCTAGCTTGTGTCAAGCTGACATACAACCTAGCCAGCACAAAGTCAGAGGTCAGCATGCAGGAGATGGGCCTCTCCTCCACTATGTAGGTCCTGGGAACCAAACTCAGCTCATCAGGCTGTGTTTCAGGCACCTTTACCTGCTGAGCCATCTTACGGGTCTTAACATTGTTTTCTTGAGACAGGATCTTGAGTTTTTTCACACGGATTTTGGGGGTTGAACTTAGGTTTTCACAGTCATGTGCCGACTGAGCCACCACCCCAACCCCCAAAATCAGAAGTTTTAAATCATCTAAAGTCTACTGTCACTGTGGGCCCTGGTGCTGTGCCGGGTGGCCTTGCGGCTGCCCCTGGAGGCTTGCAGGGCCTGAGAGTGGGTTAAGCTGCGCGCTCTCCCGGGATATCCCTGGTGTCTCCAGCTCCCATTGTCCCAAGGAGGACCAATGGGGAAGACAGAGGTTGAGACTGTGGCGTGCATCTGTGGGCGCAGACAGCCACGGCCAGCCACAGATGTGCATGTCCCTTCCCTGCAGCATCGCCGCGGTGAGGATGGCAGATGGCCTCACCTTTGTCATCTATGAGTTCTGGGAGACGGAGGAGGAGTGGAAGAGGTAGGCACAGCCTTGTCCCTCCCCCATGCCAGGGGGTGGGGCTATGGTAAGATGGAGCTGGCAGGCTCTATGTTCCTGTTCCCTCACCCTGAGGACCTTTAGAGGAGAGGGTGGGTGGGACGGTGAAGAAAGAGCCTGGCTTCTGGTTGCAGAGGCATCTCCATCTGGGCAAGCTTCCTTTCCTGGCTAGCTTGTGCCTTTCACCCGGAGGCAGCAGGGTTCTTAGTGAGACCCCTGACCTAGGCTCTCCATATGGCACCATGCATGTAAATCTCTGCCCTAAGGACTCAGTTTCCCAAATTCCCCCCCCCCCCCCCCACACACACACCCGGCCCCTGCCACCGCCACTCAGCACCTGCCTGCGTCATCAGGTGCTGGGTCTGGATCCTTGTTGTCAGTAGACCTGCCCGGTGCCTTGCGGCTGGCCACAGGGTACTGCGCTGGTTCAGAGCACAGCCCAGGCACTTCCCTGACCTCCCCAGATGGAGACACCGTACTGGAGAGGTTTCTAGTTCCTGTACAACACCAACACAGGACAGACAGAGGGGGTCACTTTTGCCCCTGTCCTCCCCCCGCAGCGAATATTCAGGGCTGTGAGATTGAGGACCTGGGTACTGCAGGGAGGAGTGAGCACACGGGGCTGGCTCGCAGACACAGGCTCCAGCCCCCGGGGGCTGTGGCGCTGTCATCTGCACAGGATTCAGCCCTTCCTCCGTCGCTGCAGCTAATCAGGAGGGGAAAGGTCGGGGCTAGAGGTCTGATCTTGCTCCCATGGGCAGTCTAGAGCCAAAGGCCTTCACAGCCCCTCCCCCAGACAGAGCCGGACTAGACCTGGGCCCACACCTAAAGTTCCCCACACCCCTCCTCCGAGACATACCCCCTGGACTAATCCATGCTCCTGGCTTGCAGGCACCTACAGAGTCCTGTGTGCAAGGCCTTCCGACACGTCAAGGTGGACACTCTGAGCCAGCCTGAGGCACTCTCCCAGATCTCCGTGCCAGGTAGAGGGCCAGGGACAAAATGGTCACTGGGGTGGGGTGCCCCAGGTCTCTGAGCAGCACCAGCCACCTTGAAGGGTCCCAGGACCTACAGGGACTTTTTGCTCACTCACCACCAGGAATCCTGGTCCAGATGCATGCTCCTCACCCAAGGCTTGGTGCATGGACAGAGACAGGGTGAGGCCGAGGCACCAGGGGGTACGTGTGGGGACTCACACAAGAAACTTAGGAAGTATGTCTGCCCAGAGAGAACCTAAGACCCCCCCACCCCCCACCCAGGGCCTGAGTGAGCAGCATAGGTTCGCAAAGCCTGGCCTGGAACTCTGCCCAAGGTCTCCTGTACCCACGCTACCCACTCCTGCTCACAGCCATCCCAGCCTCCACGGAAGGGGCCTTGATCCCCATAAGCCCAGCCACTGACCACTACTCTCTCTCTCTCTCCTGCCTCTAGCTGCCTGGTGCACTTCAGGCCGAGACTGACTCCTCCTGAGGCCATGCTAAGGAGCCTAGTGTCCCCCCCTCTTGTAAAGGACAATACCCCTTTTCTAGAGACTTTGGTACACAGCTGTCTTTTCAATATACTAATAGAAGGATGTGTACTTCCCCCTGCTCTGACACAGAGGAGGCCCCTCCCCTGGCATCCCACACCTGACTTGACCTGGCAGAGTGTACTGCTGGGGTGCTGGTGAGGCCAAGGTTAGCCGGGATGGCTTCCCAGGCCAGCCTTCAACCAACAGCTTCCCGCCCCAGCCTGCCTCTGGCCTCCCTGGCTCCTAACGGCTGAGGCCAAGCAGGACCCACCTCGGATGGATAGGCCTCTTTCTCTACTCCCCTCCTCCTTGAAGGCCCTCTACCTGGTAGGAGCTGTGACCCTGTAGTACCCAAAGTAGGCTTGGGTAGAGCCCAGGTCCCCAGCACCATGCTAGGCCCACAGCCACCAAATAAAGTCTGGTTAGGAACGGTGTGTGTCGTGTCTCTGTCCCTTTCCCAGCTGCCGTCAGCTGGAGGAGGGAGACAGTTGGGGATGCCATCGTGGGCAGTACAGAGCCAGGGTGGCTCCTAAGCCAGCTCTCCCTGTACCTTGGTGTCAGTCGAGCGATGCCTCGGGGTAGGTATCTTAACAAGTGAGTTTGGTGGCTCCTGGGCTACCTCAAGTGTAGCAGCTCACAGGAAGTGCAGGGGCCTGGCTGCGTCATTCACAGTTCGATGGAACAGGGTACTAACAGAAGTCAACTAAGGAGGACCAGGCACAGAGCCTCCATCCAGGCCATGGGGGACACAACTGCTTGTGACAACTTGTATCAGGTGTGACCAAAAGGAGGCTATGAAGGGCGGCTGACCTTCAATGCCACCCTCCATAGATGGGTCCTCAACCTAAATCCGAGGCTCCCGACAACCAGAAGTGTCACTGGTATTGGTGAAATTATTAAGGCCACTCCATGTAGTTAAAAGGGAGGTTTATTTTGTGGGGTAACTTACAAATGAAGGGATAGTTTACAGGGTCTGGGAAAGGTGTAGCGCAGTCTGCCGGTGTTCTCTGGAAAACTCTGCTCGGTCTACCTCCAGCGTCCAGGGTCCAGGAACCAAGAGAGCCAGCGCATCCGGATCTCAGGTCTTCAGGGTCCTCCCTTGGCCCCGCCTTGTAGGCGTGACAGTTACCGAAGCCTCAATGAGGGTTGGAACTTCCAGATCAAAGCTGGAATGGCTACCCACTACACACCGGCACACTGGGACATAGAGCTGGCCTCCCGGGAGCCCAGGACAGAAGCCACCATGCACCTTCCCTGCTCCCCCCAGTTAGGGACTCTAGCAAAGAGTCTACCCTTACAGTGCTGTTTGGAAGGCCAGTTCTGGACATTCCCCTCTGCTTCTCCCCTGGTCAGCAGGAAAAGATTGTCACAGAAGCCTCGGCCATCAAGGAAAGCAGCAGGTCTCCCTCTGACCAGGAAAGAATGGGAAGGAGAAGAGGACAGGGCTCCACCTCTCTAGTGAGAGAGGCAGGACCACAACTGTACCTCCTTCTGCCCCTGACTCCATCTGCCAGGAAAGTGTGTGTAGTGCCACCACCCACATAAGCCCCTCCCCTCCCTTTTCTGCCCCCCTGTGCACCTGGAGCCTTGTGTCCCCTGCTCCCTGGCAGGTTCCACCCTCCCCCGGGTACAGCCCCGCCTCACACTCAGATGCCAGCCACTCACAAACCACTCCTAGGGAGAGGGAAGCAGATTCTGGCTCTAACTGGAACATCCCACACCAGCCTCAGAGAATCAGGGGTCTCATCCAGAACGTGGGCAGCAAGGCCACCCTGTGATGGGTCAGGAATCACTTGACGCCTCACGGGGAAGGCTCCAGCGGGCACCATCAGCCTGAGTAACTATCACTCTGCTGGCCCAAGGCTGTTCCTTCCCATTCAATTTAGCTGCTTCATAAGCAGGAGGCTGGTGCTTTGGGGTGTAGCTGAGGAGGCCCACTTGGCAGAGCACGGCACATCTCTTCCGTTCACCCCACTTTGCCCAAGTTCTCCTCTCCACAGCTGAGCGGCAGGCTTCAAGATCATCACTGTTGGAAGGGGTGGGGACAGGCTCTGAGGGCATGTCTCTCTGACCAGTTCTTCAGCTTCTACTTCATTTACACCCTAGTCAGGTACAGGATCAAATAGCTGCAGGCACCACCACCCTGTATGGTCACCCATAAAGACATCCTGGTATGTCCAAGAGACACACAGACACAGAGAGGGAAGCTTAATCACCCAGGTCACACAGCATGGTAGTACCGTAAGAAGATCCAAGTAGAGAGCCTACTACCCACAAATCTGTGCCTGGCCCCACACAGCAGTAGCATCTGGGGAGAACAGCTCCAGAGTCCTGCTAATATCTGTGCCTGCTTCCTCAAACAGTTCATGACAAAGTAAGCATGTGACCCTGTGTGTTCTACTAGATAGACACAGAAGACACTGAGATGGGCTGGGAGGATGCTCATTGGCTATGCAGGCATGAGGACCTGAATGAATTCAAATCCCAGCACCCATGTAAAAAGCACGGCCAGGAATGCCTGTAACCCCAGCGCTGCGGAAGGAAGGGGTGGGGGTGGTACAGAGACTGGCAGATGCTGAGAACTCACTGGCCAGCCAGGCAGCCTAGCTGGACACTGGAAGCCCTGCTCTGGCTTTACCCCAGACACAGCAGGTACCCAGAGACAGGCTACTGAGACAAATGCCTGACACGGCGTTCATGGGGAGAACTCTAGATCGTTCAGCTGGCGGCCAGATAAAACCCCGTGTGGCGATCCTACAGCAGATGAACGCAGCGGCCCTGCGCCCCAGACCCATGGTGCCCCAGTTTTCTTTTCCATTGCGGTGATGATAAAACACTGTGACCAAAAGCAACTGGGAGAGGAAAGTATTTCTTTGGCTTACACTTCCAAGTCACTAAGGGAAATCAAGGTAGGAACTCGAGGCAGAAAGCACGAGGAAGGCTGCTTACCGGCTTGGACCGGTATAAAGCCCAGGACCACCTGCCTAGGGAATGGTACCGCCCACAGCCAGCTGGGCCCCCTTACATCAATTAGTAATCAAGACTGTTACTCACAGACGTGTCCACAGGCCAGTCTTATCTAGGCAGTTCCTCTATGGAGGGTTCTTCTTCCCAAGTGACTTAACTTGCATCAAGTTGACAAAAAACCCAGCACGCACTGTCCCCATCAGAGCTGGCTTTGGTCCCTTGCATCCACAGTTCCCCATCCAGGATTCCGCTAACCACAGGCCAAATAAAAATCCTCAGTGCTGCTGACATGCTCTATGGAGTCCGACTGCAGAGATTGCCACATGTGTGTGAGACATACCCCCTACACTGTGTAACCACTCAGGTGGTTCTCTGTGAAAGGTCAAAGGGCCAGCCAAAGCAGCTCACCCTGGCTCTGAAACCAGAGCTCGAGAAAGAAACACAGTTCGGCCCTGAAACCAGAGCCAACTCTGCCCCTGACCCACTAAACCAACCAATCCCTGAGCAGGAAGACTAACCAAAGCTCCGCCCCTAAGAAGCCTATATAAACCCCTCTGCCTGTTCAGTTGTGGGCTGCGCTTTCCCACCCTGGCAGAGGCAGCCACTCTCCTGGATGCCTCCTTCCCAAACAAATCTCTTTCTTAAGAGTTTTGGGTGTGCCGGGTGGTGGTGGTGCACACCCTTAATCCCAGCACTCGGGAGGCAGAGGCAGGCGGATCTCTGTGAGTTCGAGGCCAGCCTGGGCTACAAAGTGAGTTCCAGGACAGGCTCCAAAGCTACACAGAGAAACCCTGTCTCGAAAAACAAAAACAAACAACAACAACAACAAAAAAAAAAGAGTTTTGGTTGAAGATCTTCTTTCCCCATGTGGAACAGAAGAATCTTTGCTGAGACATTCCCTTAGAGGGGTGGAGCAGAAAAAGTAACCACTTGTCATAGCCTGAGGAGATTGCTACATTTCTGCAGGGGTTTCCGCTTTAGCAGAGTGAAGCAGAAGTAACAGCTTGGGCCTGAGAAGAAGTGGATACCTCTGCTGGGAAGCCCCCTTAAGGGGCCAGTGGCGCAGAGCAGTGCTCAGCTGTAAGGGCTCGCTCTCAGGAACAGGATTGCTACATCCTGCGGGGAGACCATCCCCCACCACACTCCAGCTTCAGGTACAGCCTGACTTCCCAACAAGTCAGGGTACCTTTCTCCTCACAGCTGTAGGTATCCAGGATACCTCCCTTCACAACTGTAGGTATGGCCTGACTTCCTGACCAGTCAGGATACCTTCCCTCCAGAGCTGTAACACTCGCACTCTGCTGGCGATAATCTAAAAGGCAGTAAGTAACTGGTGGATGTGCATGGGTCATATTCTGTACAGTTCCTTTTTATGTAAGAGACTCCCTGTCTATGGACGGATCGATGGGGCCTGGAACCAGAGTCCCATGGATACAGAAGGAAGAAGGGCTACATTCCATCACAGTGAAGGGTGCGGACACCTGCTACATCACAGATGAGCCTGGAAAACACTGCCAAAGTCAAGGACACCAGACACGTGTGCCCACATATTGTACAATCCACAGGCAGGTTGACAGGTTGTGGCTGGTGAAGAGAATGCTCACAGAGTAGGGGAACCCCAGGAGGAAATGGTGCTCAGGCACAGAACACATGCCACATGCCCCAGAGTGGAGGCCTTGGCGTGACGGGTTCTGTCACAAGGTTCCTCAGGACCCTTCCAGCTCCCTGAGCTTACTGCCTGGCTCACTTGCCAGCTGCCTCGCTGCTGGGCTGATGCACACGCCCAGGCCCTGTGCAGGAGGTGTGCAGGGCAATCCTGTTTGGATCCTGTGAGCCTGTGTCTTGGCCACTCCTAATGGTGTGCAGGCAGCAGCCAAGGCTGCCCTGGCCTACAAAAAGGTTCCCCTGGCATTCAGCGCCTCCAGAGTTTGTGATTCTCAGGCAGGGGCATCACGTCCTCTGCACATAATAGCAGTGGTGACATAAGAAGGGGGGTGTCTCCACACTCAACCACAGCCGTCACCTCGGACAGGGAGCTAGCGACCTCTGCCCTGTGCTGAAGACCCTGAAAGTGAAGCTCAGTGGGTCTTTCAGCTGCCCTTAGCTCTGTCTCATTGGGGACAGTAGGGACTAAGAATGAGGGTAGAGAAGTGGAAAGGATGGGGGGCCAGGAACGCCACTGACAAGAGCTTTTCTCTGCTTGTGACCTAAGGATGAGCAAGGTTCAGAGACGGTGCATGCTTCACCAAGGCCACACAGCCTACAAGCCAAGCAGCAGGTGAGCAGGCTCACAAGCCAGAGCCTGGGCCCAAGGGTGCCTGCTGCACCCATCCCGTAGCCAGCTGCTGTCCTAACCTGAAGGTCACTTAGAATTGAAGCAGGACACCCCCACTCCTCTCCCTCCCTTTAGGAGTTTGACATCAGCGTGCAGCATCCAGTGTGTGTTTCTCTAATTGCTGTGT